ATGTACGAGATTGTTGGTGTATCTGGACCTTGATGTACGAGATTGTTGGTGTATATGATCTTGCTGTACGAGATTGCTGGTGTATCTGAACCTTGATGTACGAGATTGTTGGTGTATCTGAACCTTGATGTACGAGATTGTTGTTGTATCTGGACCTTGCTGTACGAGATTGTTGTTGTATCTGAACCTTGATGTACGAGATTGTTGGTGTATCTGAACCTTGATGTATCAGATTGTTGGTGTATCTGAACCTTGCTGTACGAGATTGTTGTTGTATCCGAACCTTGATGTACGAGATTGTTGGTGTATCTGAACCTTGCTGTACGAGATTGTTGGTGTATCTGAACCTTGATGTACGAGATTGTTGTTGTATCTGAACCTTGATGTACGAGATTGTTGTTGTATCTGGACCTTGCTGTACGAGATTGTTGGTGTATCTGAACCTTGATGTACGAGATTGTTGTTGTATCTGAACCTTGCTGTACGAGATTGTTGGTGTATATGATCTTGCTGTACGAGATTGTTGGTGTATCTGAGCCTTGATGTACGAGATTGTTGGTGTATCTGAACCTTGCTGTACGAGATTGTTGTTGTATCTGAACCTTGCTGTACGAGATTGTTGGTGTATCTGAACCTTGCTGTACGAGATTGTTGTTGTATCTGAACCTTGATGTACGAGATTGTTGGTGTATCTAAACCTTGATGTACGAGATTGTTGGTGTATCTGAACCTTGATGTACGAGATTGTTGGTGTATCTGAACCTTGATGTACGAGATTGTTGGTGTATATGAACCTTGCTGTACGAGATTGTTGTTGTATCTGAGCCTTGCTGTACGAGATTGTTGGTGTATCTGAACCTTGATGTACGAGATTGTTGGTGTATCTGAACCTTGCTGTACGAGATTGTTGGTGTATCTGAACATTGATGTACGAGATTGTTGGTGTATCTGAACCTTGATGTACGAGATTGTTGGTGTATCTAAACCTTGATGTACGATATTGTTGTTGTATCTGGACCTTGCTGTACGAGATTGTTGTTGTATCTGGACCTCGCTGTACGAGATTGTTGTTGTATCTGGACCTTGCTGTACGAGATTGTTGTTGTATCTGGACCTTGCTGTACGAGATTGTTGTTGTATCTGGACCTTGCTGTACGAGATTGTTGTTGTATCTGGACCTTGCTGTACGAGATTGTTGTTGTATCTGGACCTTGCTGTACGAGATTGTTGGTGTATCTGGACCTTGCTGTACGATAGTGTTAGTGTATCTGGACCTTGCTGTACGAGATTGTTGTTGTATCTGGACCTTGCTGTACGAGATTGTTGTTGTATCTGAACCTTGATGTACGAGATTGTTGTTGTATCTGAACCTTGATGTACGAGATTGTTGGTGTATCTAAACCTTGATGTACGAGATTGTTGTTGTATCTGGACCTTGCTGTACGAGATTGTTGTTGTATCTGAACCTTGATGTACGAGATTGTTGGTGTATCTGAACCTTGATGTACGAGATTGTTGTTGTATCTGAACCTTGATGTACGAGATTGTTGGTGTATCTGAACCTTGATGTACGAGATTGTTGGTGTATCTAAACCTTGATGTACGAGATTGTTGTTGTATCTGGACCTTGCTGTACGAGATTGTTGTTGTATCTGAACCTTGATGTACGAGATTGTTGGTGTATCTGAACCTTGATGTACGAGATTGTTGTTGTATCTGAACCTTGATGTACGAGATTGTTGTTGTATCTAAACCTTGATGTACTAGATTGTTGGTGTATCTGAACCTTGATGTACGAGATTGTTGTTGTATCTGAACCTTGATGTACGAGATTGTTGTTGTATCTAAACCTTGATGTACGAGATTGTTGGTGTATCTGAACCTTGATGTACGAGATTGTTGTTGTATCTGGACCTTGCTGTACGAGATTGTTGTTGTATCTGAACCTTGATGTACGATCGTATGCCAATTGTGTAGATCAATGCTCATTATGTCAATCACAGGATTATGTACAGACTGCTGTCACATGGCTGGAATATTGCTGAGTGTGGTGTTAAACAACAAACCAACAAACAAAACAGACACCAATCCTTGTTTCATCAGTATTTGGCCATGTCATCAATCCTTGGTATGTCCAGCTCACACATGGTGGGTCGGGACAACCAATCCCTTGTACGTCATTATGAACCACAAGGTCAGGAACACAAAATCATGAAGTAAGTGTCACTGTATTAACCATGAGAACAGTATCAAAAACTTTCCAACCTTTGTCAACAGTAGTGTGTGTCAGTGCCTAATAAAGAGAAACTCATGACTTCATATGTCCCCAAGTTTTGTAAGACCAGTATGTTTTGTTTGACCTTTATTTAGAGAATCTGTCTTATTTCAGGTGTAGCTATTTAGAAAACAAATTTATTTGCATCACCAACCTCTGCCTGTCTGACATTTGATTGATGACTGACTGAAGGCGACAGGCAACACACCTTCCTGTAAGGACATCACAGTGCTCCTACAGACATCAGACATAGGCAATATTACATGTCTCCTGCACAAGTCACGGCAGCATTATATTGTCACAAGGCTACTCGTAATATTGTTTTATGCTAGTACTCTTTCTATACATCACTGTCTGTGAAAAGCTGAAAGTTGTTATTCTTTGTTTGTTTGTTGTTTAACACCTCACTCAGCAATATTCCAGCTATATGACGGCAGTCTGTAAATCCATCATCGAGTCTGGACCAGACAATCCAGTGATTGATATAATGAGCATCGGTCTACACAATTGAGATATGATGACATGCATCAACAAAGTCAGCGAAACTGACCACCCGACCCCATTAGTCGCCGCTTACAACAAGCTTCATCAACTATTATGGCAAGTATGGGTTGCTGAAGACCTATTCTAGCCAGGATCTTCACAGGTCTTGTTATTCAATATAAAAAATAAGATATATTTACCCTCAACACTGTCAGCAGTGTCATTGGTGCCCCTCCCCAAATATCCAGGACATGACCATGGCAACACAATGTGACTTCCATCAGGACATGACCATGGCAACACAATGTGACTTCCATCAGGACATGACCATGGCAACACAATGTGACTTCCATCAGGACATGACCATGGTGACACAATGTGACTTCCATCAGGACATGACCATGGCAACACAATGTGACTTCCATCAGGACATGATCATGGCAACACAACGTGACTTCCATCAGGACATGATCATGGCGACACAATGTGACTTCCATCAGGACATGACCATGGCAACACAATGGGACTTCCATCAGGACATGACCATGGCAACACAACGTGACTTCCATCAGGACATGACCACGGTGACACAATGTGACTTCCATCAGGACATGACCATGGCGACACAATGTGACTTCCATCAGGACATGACCATGGCGACACAATGTGACTTCCATCATGCAACACAATGGGACTGTTGCATCACATCATGACAGCTGCATCAATATGTTTTCCACATTTGCTAACAATGTTCACACAGGTTCCCAGGATGAGATGGATTGCCAACAGGTACTGGATTTTGGAGTTTAAACATTGCAAAAAATGATGACAAATTCCACATACAGTGAGTCAAATTTATTTCTTAATATAAACATTCTACTTTGAACACTGACATAACGTGAAATGCTATTATAAAGTGTCCATGTCACCAAAAGAATATCAATTAACTTCACATCAATCTTCAAACATAAATATTAGGAACATGATATACAGTTAATTGCTAATGCATCATGGTTGGCCCTGTGATCTAAGGTGCAGTGACTCTCTGTGCAGTTGCCTCCCTTAGTTGCCAGGATCTGCTTGTCATGGGTTCCAATCCTACTGTTTATAACCATTGGTTTGTCAGCAACATAATAACAAGATTTATTACCTATGAGGGCAAACATATTGGGGTTCATAAAAATCATATGTGCCCTAGGGTAAATATCAGTGAGTGAGTGAGTGAGTTGGGTTTAACACCGCTTTTATGTGTTATGTCATGGCGTGTCAGCTTAACGTGGGAGGAAAGTCTGAAGTAATGCAGGTCTTAGATGTTTACCACTTCGGTGAAACCCACGAGCACGGGTATGGTGCTGACAAACCTAAAAACATAATCGGGGCGAACCGGGATTCGAACCCACAATCAACAGTTTCTGGCATGCCCAAGGGACGCAACTCTGCACAGCGAATCGCAGTGCTTGAGACGACTGGGCCACCCATGCCCCCCTAGGGGCACACTAGAAACAACTTCATAGCTGAAGATTGTTGATGTCATTCAACAAATTGTGGTTCTGCTGCTGTTGCGACCTGCTGTCCTTATAGGTAATCTCTAAATTTGTCTCTCTATGTAGACATCTTTGATAATAAATAGTACATTATATGAGTGTCATACTATGTTTACGACATGAGTGTCTAAATTCCGGTATTTCCCGAGCGAGAGCTAAGTGCTTTTGGGGCAACATCGGCAGACTGCATTTTCACAGTAATAGATATATTATGGTGTCACAAAAACAAGTTTATTTACAATATCCATATCCCTGTCACACCTGATATATTATTCACATCAGTGTTTTCTTTCTGTAGATTTAACCCCGCTAAATTGAATTTGGAACTGAACGCGCAGAAAACCATTTGTTCATATAACTATTCACATTTTTCTGGTTACCGGGGTAATCTGCTTTCAGATTTATGCAAGAATTTATCATAAATTTGTTAAATACATGTACAATTCAAAATGAGATGCATTATGATATTTAACTTTTCTCGCATATTACATGAAAATGTCTCTTCTCAATTTAAGAAAAGGTATTATTATGAAAAGGAAAAAGTGTTTTGCATTCCAATGCATATTTCTCAGTTATTTTATGCATCTCTTGAGGAACAAACATAAATTATTCATTTGCATTCCTATTGAGGCTAAACAAATTCACTGTTATCATGTTATCTTCTTTTTTTTTCTTTTTTTTCTGATTTCTTTCTTTTCTTATTCCGTGACACTGCAGCTCCTGATTGGAATGCTAATTCTTTCTTTCTTTTCCTGGAAAAAACAGAAGTAGATGTGGCTCTCATTGTGGAGTGTTGTTTACAGAACATGGAGCCAGCTTCCACACTAACAAGATGTAAAGTTATTTGCATCTTTAAACTTTTAAACTACTATTTCACTCATAAATGCAATACAGGCAACATATTAATATCCTCTTGATGGTGACAGTCTGATGACAGACCAGGTCAACGTATTGATATCCTCTGGATTGTGACAGTCTGATGACAGATCAGGTCAACTATTGATATCTTCTTGATGGTGACAGTCTGATGACAGACCAGGTCAACTATTGATATCAGTATCTTGATTGTGACTGTCTGATGACAGACCAGGTCAACTATTGATATCGTACCGCTGATGGTGACAGTCTTTTGACAGACCAGGTCAACTATTGATATCCTCTGGATGGAGAGAGTTTGTGTTGCAAAGTGAGTACAGACGACCCTGACTGACCTTACCTGTTTGACAAATGTTTCAGGGGACAGTCCCTCCTCTTGTGACCACTCTGTCCACATATGTGGCAGCCTGAAACACAACCAGGTCACTGAAATCCTGTTCAATAATGAATAGTTATTCATGCTGTAGATCTACAAACTTGCAATTCAGGGGGTACAAGCTGTAGTATCTACTGGTGGAAATTCTACTGATCCAAGGTGGTTCTTATCATAACAAACAATATGTCATACTATGGAATGTAAAGAAAACACTTGACTTGTGACATCTGACTCACATGACTTGTGACATCTGACTCACTTGACTTGTGACATCTTACTCACCTGACTTATGACATCTGACTCGTCTGACTTGTGACATGACTCACCTCACTTGTGACATTTGACTCACCTCACTTGTGACATCTGACTCACCTGACTTGTGACATCTGACTCGTCTGACTTGTGACATTTGCCTTACCTGACTTGTGACATTTGACTAACCTCACTTGAGACATTTGACTCACCTGACTTGTGACATCTGACTCATCTGACTTGTGACATCTGACTCATCTGACTTGTGACATGACTCACCTCACTTGTGACATTTGACTCACCTGACTTGTGACATTTAACTCACTAGACTTGTGACATCTGACTCGTCTGACTTGTGACATCTGACTCGTCTGACTTGTGACATGACTCACCTCACTTGTGACATTTGACTCACCTCACTTGTGACATTTGACTCACCTGAATTGTCACATCTGACTCATGGGACTTGTCACATCTGACCTGATGTGCGACAACTGACTCACCTGATGTGTGACATCTGACTCATCTGACTTGTGACATCTGATTCATGGGACTTATGACAACTGACTGATGTGACTTGTGACATCTGATTTAGGGACTTATGACAACTGACTCATGTGACTTGTGACAACTGACTCATGTGACTTGTGACAACTGACTCACCTGACTCTTGGCTTGCCCCACACTTGTGGTCCTGTACCTGACACCTGACTCACCTGACTCTTGGCTTGACCCACACTTGTGGTCCTGTACCTGACACCTGACTCACCTGACTCTTGGCTTGCCCAACACTTGTGGTCCTGTAGCTGACATCTGACTCACCTGACTCTTGGCTTGACCCACACTTGTGGTCCTGTACCTGACATCTGACTCACCTGACTCTTGGCTTGACCCACACTTGTGGTCCTGTAGCTGACATCTGACTCACCTGACTCTTGGCTTGCCCCACACTTGTGGTCCTGTACCTGACATCTGACTCTTGGCTTGCCCCACACTTGTGGTCCTGTACCTGACATCTGACTCACCTGACTCTTGGCTTGCCCCACACTTGTGGTCCTGTAGCTGACATCTGACTCACCTGACTCTTGGCTTGACCCACACTTGTGGTCCCGTAGCTGACATCTGACTCACCTGACTCTTGGCTTGCCCCACACTTGTGGTCCTGTAGCTGACATCTGACTCATCTGACTCTTGGCTTACCCCACACTTGTGGTCCTGTAGCTGACATCTAACTCACCTGACTCTTGGCTTGCCCCACACTTGTGGTCCTGTACCTGACATCTGACTCACCTGACTCTTGGCTTGCCCCACACTTGTGGTCCTGTAGCTGACATCTAACTCACCTGACTCTTGGCTTGACCCACACTTGTGGTCCTGTACCTGACATCTGACTCACCTGACTCTTGGCTTGACCCACACTTGTGGTCCTGTAGCTGACATCTGACTCACCTGACTCTTGGCTTGCCCCACACTTGTGGTCCTGTACCTGACATCTGACTCACCTGACTCTTGGCTTGCCCCACACTTGTGGTCCTGTAGCTGACATCTGACTCATCTGACTCTTGGCTTGCCCCACACTTGTGGTCCTGTAGCTGACATCTGACTCACCTGACTCTTGGCTTGCCCAACACTTGTGGTCCTGTAGCTGACATCTGACTCATCTGACTCTTGGCTTGCCCCACACTTGTGGTCCTGTAGCTGACATCTGACTCACCTGACTCTTGGCTTGACCCACACTTGTGGTCCTGTAGCTGACATCTGACTCACCTGACTCTTGGCTTGACCCACACTTGTGGTCCTGTAGCTGACATCTGACTCACCTGACTCTTGGCTTGACCCACACTTGTGGTCCTGTACCTGACATCTGACACCTGACTCTTGGCTTGACCCACACTTGTGGTCCTGTACCTGACATCTGACTCACTTGACTCTTGGCTTACCCCACACTTGTGGTCCTGTACCTGACACCTGACTCACCTGACTCTTGGCTTGCCCCACACTTGTGGTCCTGTACCTGACACCTGACTCACCTGACTCTTGGCTTACCCCACACTTGTGGTCCTGTACCTGACACCTGACTCACCTGACTCTTGGCTTACCCCACACTTGTGGTCCTGTACCTGACACCTGACTCACTTGACTCTTGGCTTGCCCCACACTTGTGGTCCTGTACCTGACATCTGACTCACTTGACTCTTGGCTTGCCCCACACTTGTGGTCCTGTAGCTGACATCTGACACCTGACTCTTGGCTTGCCCCACACTTGTGGTCCTGTAGCTGACATCTGACACCTGACTCTTGGCTTGACCCACACTTGTGGTCCTGTAGCTGACATCTGACTCACCTGACTCTTGGCTTGGCCCACACTTGTGGTCCCGTAGCTGACATCTGACTCACCTGACTCTTGGCTTGACCCACACTTGTGGTCCTGTACCTGACATCTGACTCACCTGACTCTTGGCTTGACCCACACTTGTGGTCCTGTAGCTGACATCTATTGCATGAACTACAATGAGCCCAGGAAGGCTTCACACAACGTTCACAGGTCTCACAGTGAACATAGCTTGTCCCATCCTACAAATATAAAACACATCCCTAGATCATTGATTTGTGTTCAGAAGGGCCCAGCACAAACAAATACACTATACACTTATGGACATTAGCATACAAATATAACTGTACAGTGGTATCTGAATACTCTTATTATTAACTGCTACTATTCAAGCAACATATTATTCACTTGTTTTTACCATGGGGCCTGGACATCGGAGCAAATATTTTCAGTAATTCTCACTGAGCATTATATTTTTTGCTTCATCCTGATTGGCTAGTTCTTTCCGATTGTTCCTCTGTTTTCATCATTTTTCGCAGAGGCCGAAAGCAATGGGACATCATATTAATGCATTGTTGTCCATAATTGCATGCAACTTAAGTGTCTTCCTTGACACATCAAAACCCTGCATGCAACTTAAGTGTCTTCCTTGACACATCAAAACCCTGCAAGCAACTTAAGTGTCTTCCTTGACACATCAAAACCCTGCATGCAACTTAAGTGTCTTCCTTGACACATCAAAACCCTGCATGGAACTTAAGTGTCTTCCTTGACACATCAAAACCCTGAATGCAGCTTAAGTGTCCTCCTTTGACACATACCTTGGATGTTCAGGGCATATCTTGGCTCTACATGGAATACCTTGGATGTACATGACATACCTTGGATGTACAGGGCATACCTTGGATGTTCAAGGCATACCTTGGATGTACAGGGCATACCTTGGATGTTCAAGGCATACCTTGGATCTACATGACATACCTTGGATGTACAGGACATACCTTGGATGTACAGGGCATACCTTGGATGTACATGGCATACCTTGGATGTGCAGGGCATACCTTGGATGTACAGGACATACCTTGGATGTACGGGGCATACCTTGGATGTTCAGGGCATACCTTGGATCTACATGACATACCTTGGATGTACAGGGCATACCTTGGATGTTCAGGGCATACCTTGGTTCTACAGGGCATACCTTGAATGTACAGGACATACCTTGGATGTACAGGACATACCTTGGATGTACATGGCATACCTTGGATGTACATGGTATACCTTGGATGTACAGGGCATACCTTGGATGTTCAGGGCATACCTTGGATGTACATTGCATACCTTGGATGTACAGGGCATACCTTGGATGTACATGGCATACCTTGGATGTACATGGCATACCTTGGATGTACAGGACATACCTTGGATGTACAGGACGTACAGGACATACCTTGGATGTACAGGACATACCTTGGATGTACAGGGCATACAATGGATGTCCAGGGCATACCTTGGATGTACATGGCATACCTTGAATGTACATGGCATACCTTGGATGTACACGGCATACCTTGGATGTACAGCGGCCACACTTGTCACAGTGCTTGTTCTCCTCGGCCGAGTACTGCTCACACACCTCACACCACCTGAAACAGTCACACCCTGTTGAAACTACACCTTCACAGTGAGGATCCTCAATTATCCATACCTTGATAAATATCATGGACCCTTTAGCCACTATAGCTTCATTTTGAAAGCAACGCCAGTCTCAATCATTATTATCTTTAACTTAGCAGAAAATTTCTTTCACTCACTGGAGTAATTTGAATGGGCTGCTATGTTTAGTGTTGTTGAACTGGACTAAAAATGAAGACGTGATAATGAATAACCTGGATATGCATGAAACAGCTAAAATTAGGCCAAGGCAAAATGGAGGTCCTACCACTTTGACTCAAATCCGTAAAACACTTAGTGTTACTGTGCAAACTAACATGTTCTGATGTATACCCTTCTGCCAGTTAATAATAACTCCGAGATAGTATCTCGATCTCAAACGTGACATTACTAACAACCACAAGCCAGACCATGAAGCACAGTCTCCCTTCAACATCAAACAGAACATTCTACTTCATATTCAGCAACATGACAGAGGTGTGTGTGAGATTCTCTTGGGCAGTTTGGGGGAATAAGCTTCTTAATGAGACAACAGCAATCCAATGTGTACTTTTACACAGTAATCTGTATGTAGTCTTTAGATGTGTTTCAGCAGCAATAATGACCAGCAAATGATCCAGGGAATGTGCTCCTGGAGTTCCCACCAAATACAACTAGCTCAGGTTTTCATGATTCCTGTGTATCACCTGTAACCCTCGTTGCTTGGGAGCGGGATCTGCCTCGCTTGTAAGTTGGTGAAGATCCTCACTGGGGACCCCTTCTTCTTCTTTGCTGAGAACAAGCTGTGGTTGTCATAGTCCACCTGGAACATATCCACTCCCTGTCAGTAGTGTTCCGATATCAATACGACGAGTAAAGTTCTTATCCAACCACTGAGTTGTGATATACATAAAGCGACTTCAGATGTACATATATTTTCTGATGACAATATTAATAACATAGTTCCACATCAACTACCAAACAGTTCATCAAATTATGCCATGTTTTGTCATGACCCCCAGCCCTACCTTGTAATCTAACACATGCAGGGCTTGTATAGCCTCTGTGACCCTCTTCTACAGGTGACCCCCAGCCCTACCTTGTAATCTAACATATGCAGGGCTGGTATAGCCTTTGTGACCCTCTTCTATAGGAGACCCCCAGCCCTACCTTGTAATCTAACATATGCAGGGCTGGTATAGCCTTTGTGACCCTCTTCTACAGGAGACCCCCAGCCCTACCTTGTAATCTAACATATGCAGGGCTGGTATAGCCTTTGTGACCCTCTTCTATAGGAGACCCCCAGCCCTACCTTGTAATCTAACATATGCAGGGCTGGTATAGCCTCTGTGACCCTCTTCTATAGGAGACCCCCAGCCCTACCTTGTAATCTAACATATGCAGGGCTGGTATAGCCTCTGTGACCCTCTTCTATAGGACACCCCCAGCCCTACCTTGTAATCTAACATATGCGGGGCTGGTATAGCCTCTGCGATCCTCTTCTACAGGAGCCCCCCAGCCCTACCTTGTAATCTAACATATGCAGGGCTGGTATAGCCTCTGCGATCCTCTTCTATAGGAGACCCCCAGCCCTACCTTGTAATCTAACATATGCAGGGCTGGTATAGCCTCTGTGACCCTCTTCTATAGGACACCCCCAGCCCTACCTTGTAATCTAACATATGCGGGGCTGGTATAGCCTCTGCGATCCTCTTCTACAGGAGCCCCCCAGCCCTACCTTGTAATCTAACATATGCAGGGCTGGTATAGCCTCTGCGATCCTCTTCTCCAGGAAGTAGGGGAAGAACCACAGCACCGGAACAGTGATAACCTCTTCCTCATCTTCAAGCAAGAAGTCATTATTTAATGTATTTAGGATTCAACAAGAATAATTAATATAGTGATAGTAATTAATATGCAACATTGTCAAGCAAGTTACAGCATCTAAAGGGGGGCCACTATTGACATCTAAGGGGCACAACTCTGCATAGCCAATTGCAGCAACTTAGATCAACAGCTTCCCAAGGCCCTGGCTAGGACTTTGAAACCAAATATATACCAGGTATCACTCAACAAGTCCTTCAAGGAAACAAAAGTTGTCTCCCCTACACAAATATATAAGTGACAAAATAACCACTAAGATGTGCACTTCAGATCAAAGGGCTTAGTGTGGTTCATACTCAGGCAGCAACATGACTGATTTATTTAGGTTTCTCATGGTCAGATATTCAGGGATTGGATTTCTGGTGAGAAATAAAAAACAGTTCACAGTCCACAGCACTGGTGTCAATGATGATGAGATCCACATGGAATTATTTCCATTCGGAACAAGTATTGCCAGTGTAAATGTATCGTGGAAACATATTCTAGTAAAAACTGTTCTGTGGAATTAATTAGTAGAATAATAACAATCTTATTAAAATCAGATCTAAGTTCTCACTGTCGCTAAACAAAGATCTGAGGACATCCCATTACGGGGTCACGTGAGAACGACCTTTTGTGAACTTTGACCGACCACTAAAATGACTAACAAGAAGTCGACATCAGCCAATTAGACAGCAGCTTTCTCGAGCTTTACGGCACTCGTTTCAACCTGGTGACTTCCATTTCAGACTACACTTGAAAAATATGTTGACACAGTTCTCGATTAAAATTTTGAAAACTGAACAAACGAACATTCCGGAATGTCTAATATATGGTTCAGATTTTATGGCAGTGCTTCCAACGTACTGTGCAATTCCTCCTCCATTCAAATGTTCATCCCACAGAAGCGAGAGATAGACGATATTATTGACGGAATCAGTTGTACGGGCCGTAACTGTCGCTCCGAATACCCCGTGTTAACGTTTCAGAGGTTGCATGGTTAGAAAACACATTCCCACTGTCACTTTCATGATCTGGTAAGCGATGCTTTGATTGGTTGAATGAAAGGTCGTTCTGACGTGATTTTAATGAGATTGGAATAATAGTAACAAAGGAACAATATCACTACAGGAATAGACACTCTTTGACACTGGTGCAGCAGCAGCTGCTTCATCCACAGCAAGCCACAGCAGAAGGTCACAGCAGACACCAGACTATGCACATGTAATACTCCCTTCATTCAACAACCAGTACAACCACAGGGGTAGGACTTGTTGATACCAATACGTGAATGGACTAACAGAGTGAGTTATTGGGTTGTAGAGCTAGTGGGTCTCTCAATCACATCACAATGACTTGATGATGGAGAAAAACACGAAGGCATGCAAGTAAAAGGTATTTTCAGCTTCAGTGAACCCACAAGTATAGGTATGATGCCAACAGACCAAGAATGGTAATCAGGGTGAATTGGGGATTAGAACGATTGGATCTTTGCAAGACAAAATTGCAATCTCATTAAATCAGATCTTAGTTCTTGCTGCCGCTTAACAAAGATCTGAGGACATCCCATTACGGGTCACGTCATGCCAACCTTTCGCGAACTCTGACCTATCAATGGTATTACTGACAAGAAGTCGACATTAGCCAATCAGAAGGCAGTTTTCTCGTGCTTTACGGCACTAATTTTAAATTGGCGACTACGCTTCGAAACATATTCTGGCAAATTCTTGCTTAAAAAATTGAAACCTGAACAAAAGAACATTCTTGAATGGCTAATATATGGTCTAGATTGTATAGATTCAGTCGTTAAGCCTGTAATTATCTTTCAGAATACCCCGTTTAAAAGTTTTCGAGGTTGAATGATGAGAAATCACATTCCGACTGTCACTTTCATGATCTGGTAAGCGACGCTCTGATTGGTCGGATGAAAGGTCGTTCTGACGTGACCCCCAATGGGATGTCCTCAGATCTTTGTTTAGCGGTAGCGAGAACTAAGATCTGATTTTAATGAGATTGGACAAAATTGATGCCTTCGTCGACTGGCCCACTTCAGGCCTAAAAAAACCCAACTATTCTATTTCTGATCTGCTGTAAAATACATCACTGAACCCACCCTTGTCTTGCCGAACACAGTCGGACATGATCCGGGACATGGTCCTTGCCAGGGCTTCTACCATTCCCCCAAATGGAGGATCTGTTACTATGGCAACACGTTTCTCGGGACTTGGTGTTACAAAGTCTTGATACACTTGCTGACTAGTTTCTGAGTCGAAGAAATGGAAGTTGAACATATTGAAGCGGCAGAACTGTGATGATGAGTACACCTGCATCTGTAACACACACAACCAAGCAGCTTCATCAGCACAAGCATGTTAGTCTAGTCCTTGTAATTAGTGCCATGTGTGAGACATTGTCTCTTGGCAGCTATTAACTGATGGATTGAAATACACCATATAATTTGTGTCATACAAATTTGGTCTTAATATGTCTTCAATCTTACTTGCTAGGATTACCAACTGGCTTGGAGCTTATTCCATTTTATTCATGTTAATTAACATACTTAAGAAATTTTCAAGCACTTTACAGGAAAACAGAAAAATAAAAGCAGTTTACATAAGCATGATAAGACCTTGCAAGGCAGTTTTTCAAAAAGACAGTGTAAAGCAGTTTTCATGATGACCTTGAAAGGTAGGTTTCATAAAGACAGTGTACCGCAGCAGCACCCAGCAGCCTACAGCGCTCTCGTGCGCGAAGGGGAAAACCTCACTTCTTTCCAAACATCAATCAACTAGAGACAGATGATTGGGGAGGTGAGAGAGAGAGAGTATTTCTGATGTAATAGAGGAAGGATTCTTAGAATAATTAACAATGATAACTATTGTTTGATAATTCTTATGAATCTTTCACCTCTATTTCATCATTGCCAGAATATACCAGAGGGAAGGTGGGTTCTGCCTATAGTACACGCCCTGTATAGTTGACAGTAATTCCTATAAACCTATAAAGGGTGAAGTTGTAGATCATAATCCGTAGACACAGCCACATCTATGATCCCCACTACCTCCTGGTTTGAAAACCTCTTCTGCTACATCGCTGATGTTAGAAGTCAGGCTGACGAAAGGAGAGTCTGGTGAAGGTTAGATGTAACAGGGGCATGGCAACCTGCATATTCCAGACTAGATTGGTCTGTATGGGAGGCAGGTTTGGCAGGAGAGGGTATAGGGGGTTCAGTAGATTCAGGAAGAAAAAAGAGGAGTACCAAATTTAACCTCATAATAGCCACTTTCCGGGAGATATCCGTCTTGTGAGTAACCAATTCAAGTAGTCGAGTGGATCCATGTGGTCACCATGCAGGTCATTATCCAATGGTGTCCAGGATTCAGGTAAGATCCGTGTGTGGTTAACTGTTGCATAACCATAGCTCCCTTACGGAGGTCATGTGGTTGAAAGACAAATCCTGTGACCAGAAAAAACCCTGTGGCCCATGCAGGAACCATACAGCAGTAGAGCTGTTTCAGCAGCGGTGGACTGATGTTCAGTATAGCCCGTGTAATCAGTGCAGACTGTATGGTCCATATGTGCTGGCTTATCTGCTTGATTAACCGGATGGTTTGAAGTGAGGTTTTTCCAGCCTTCATGCGGTGTGGGTTGTTCGGTGCTATTGCGGGTACAACTAATTGCTGTACAGTTGACAGCGAAGGGGACTTCTGTTGAAAATCTGAATTTGGCAATAATGTAATAGAGGTAGAGGATTCGTAAGAATGATTTGTGTTTAGGATACCTATATTGACTATGTTTGCTATACATTAAAACTACAACAAAGATAATTGTACAAGTATTTAAAATTGCTTTGGTGTAATCAACATAAATAAGGCAGATAACCCCAGAGCATGTCTATTTTCCCCAGCTCTATGGACACATACCTGAGCGGCTGAGCCAAATGGCTAGCATTCAACATTCTTCTTGACTAAACATCTAGATTCATAGTCCTCCTTCACGGGAGTGGTTTCATCTTTGAGATTGAGATACACCTAACATGTTTGAGAGGCATCACGATATCCATTCGAGTACAACAGCTAACAAAGGGCTCAAACTTCACATGCAAATTATCTATTAGGTACAACTACATGTACATTAATAAACCGGACACCTTGGCTGAAGGGTACAAAACTCAACACTAGCTGCTAAAACCTGCACAGATCACAAGAGCATGATTCCTTCTGGACATCTAGTTTATATCTAACTTTCCAGAAATCATTCTGTACTAACGTATCTTGCATCCAGGTCTAGCAGCAGAGTCCTTGTTGAATGGCCCTTGGATCCACTTCTGTTGGTGACAGCTTCATGTATTCTGAAACACAATACAAAGATCATCACTCAGGAAGACCAGGGATAGAATGGATTCACAGTAGCTCATGCTTATTGTAAAAGAAGACCAGATGGATTGAGTGGTCAGACTTGATGACTTGGTTGATTGCATCTCATCCTACCTCATCGGCATGAATCACTGCTCAAATATCACAGACACAAGCCTGTCAGGGTACACAGGTGTCACAAGCCTGTCAGGGTATACAGGTGGCACAAGCCTGTCAGGGTACACAGGTGACACAAGACACAAGCCTGTCAGGGTACATAGGTGACACAAGCCTGTCAGGGTACACAGGTGTCACAAGCCTGTCAGGGTACACAGGTGACACAAGACACAAGCCTGTCAGGGTACAGGTAACAGAAGCCTGTCAGGTTACACAGGAGACACAAGCCTGTCAGGTTACACAGGAGACACAAGCCTGTCAGGTTACACAGGAGACACAAGCCTGTCAGGGTACATAGGTGACACAAGCCTGTCAGGGTACAGGTAACAGAAGCCTGTCAGGTTACACAGGAGACACAAGCCTGTCAGGTTACACAGGAGAAACAAGCCTGTCAGGTTACAGGTAACAGAAGCCTGTCAGGTTACACAGGAGACACAAGCCTGTCAGGTTACACAGGAGACACAAGCCTGTCAGGTTACACAGGAGACACAAGCCTGTCAGGGTACATAGGTGACACAAGCCTGTCAGGTTACACAGGTGACACAAGCCTGTCAGGTTACACAGGTGACACAAGCCTGTCAGGGTACACAGGAGACACAAGCCTGTCAGGTTACACAGGTGACACAAGCCTGTCAGGGTACAGGTAACAGAAGCCTGTCAGGTTACACAGGAGACAGAAGCCTGTCAGGTTACACAGGAGACACAAGCCTGTCAGGTTACACAGGAGACACAAGCCTGTCAGGTTACACAGGAGACACAAGCCTGTCAGGTTACACAGGAGACACAAGCCTGTCAGGTTACACAGGAGACACAAGCCTGTCAGGTTACACAGGTGACACAAGCCTGTCAGGTTACACAGGTGACACAAGCCTGTCAGGTTACACAGGAGACACAAGCCTGTCAGGTTACACAGGTGACACAAGCCTGTCAGGTTACACAGGTGACACAAGCCTGTCAGGGTACACAGGAGACACAAGCCTGTCAGGTTACACAGGTGACACAAGCCTGTCAGGGTACACAGGAGACACAAGACACAAGCCTGTCAGGGTACATAGGTGACACAAGCCTGTCAGGGTACACAGGTGACACAAGACACAAGCCTGTCAGGGTACACAGGTGACACAAGACACAAGCCTGTCAGGTTACATAGGTGACACAAGCCTGTCAGGGTACACAGGAGACACAAGCCTGTCAGGGTACACAGGTGACACAAGCCTGTCAGGGTACACAGGAGACACAAGCCTGTCAGGGTACATAGGTGACACAAGCCTGTCAGGGTATACAGGTGACACAAGACACAAGCCTGTCAGGGTACACAGGTGACACAAGCCTGTCAGGGTACACAGGTGACACAAGACACAAGCCTGTCAGGTTACATAGGTGACACAAGCCTGTCAGGGTACACAGGTGACACAAGACACAAGCCTGTCAGGGTACAGGTAACAGAAGCCTGTCAGGTTACACAGGAGACACAAGCCTGTCAGGTTACACAGGAGACACAAGCCTGTCAGGGTACAGGTAACAGAAGCCTGTCAGGTTACACAGGAGACACAATCCTGTCAGGTTACACAGGAGACACAAGCCTGTCAGGTTACACAGGAGACACAAGCCTGTCAGGTTACACAGGAGACACAAGCCTGTCAGGTTACACAGGTGACACAAGCCTGTCAGGGTACATAGGTGACACAAGCCTGTCAGGTTACACAGGAGACACAAGCCTGTCAGGTTACACAGGTGACACAAGCCTGTCAGGGTACACAGGTGACACAAGCCTGTCAGGTTACACAGGTGACACAAGCCTGTCAGGGTACACAGGTGACACAAGCCTGTCAGGTTACACAGGAGACACAAGCCTGTCAGGTTACAAAGGAGACACAAGCCTGTCAGGTTACACAGGTGACACAAGCCTGTCAGGGTACATAGGTGACACAAGCCTGTCAGGGTACACAGGTGACACAAGCCTGTCAGGGTACACAGGAGACACAAGCCTGTCAGGGTACATAGGTGACACAAGCCTGTCAGGGTACACAGGAGACACAAGCCTGTCAGGGTACACAGGTGACACAAGCCTGTCAGGGTACACAGGAGACACAAGCCTGTCAGGGTACATAGGTGACACAAGCCTGTCAGGTTACACAGGTGACACAAGCCTGTCAGGGTACATAGGTGACACAAGCCTGTCAGGGTACACAGGTGACACGAGCCTGTCAGGGTACACAGGTGACACAAGCCTGTCAGGGTACATAGGTGACACGAGCCTGTCAGGGTACACAGGTGACACAAGCCTGTCAGGGTACACAGGTGACACAAGCCTGTCAGGGTACACAGGTGACACAAGCCTGTCAGGTTACACAGGTGACACGAGCCTGTCAGGGTACACAGGTGACACAAGCCTGTCAGGGTACATAGGTGACACGAGCCTGTCAGGGTACACAGGTGACACAAGCCTGTCAGGGTACATAGGTGACACAAGCCTGTCAGGGTACATAGGTGACACAAGCCTGTCAGGGTATACAGGTGGCACAAGCCTGTCAGGGTACATAGGTGACACAAGCCTGTCAGGGTATACAGGTGGCACAAGCCTGTCTGGGTACACAGGTGACACAAGCCTGTCAGGGTACATAGGTGACACGAGCCTGTCAGGGTACACAGGTGACACAAGCCTGTCAGGGTACACAGGTGACACAAGCCTGTCAGGTTACACAGGTGACACAAGCCTGTCAGGTTACACAGGTGACACAAGCCTGTCAGGGTACACAGGTGACACGAGCATGTCAGGGTACATAGGTGACACAAGCCTGTCAGGGTACACAGGTGACACAAGCCTGTCAGGGTATACAGGTGGCACAAGCCTGTCAGTGCCTAAATGTTGCAAGGATTGAGTGAACAGCCTACCTTGGAGCCCCTACACAGAGGACATGGGTGACACCCAGTTTGTCAAGGGCCTCTAACGTGAAGGTGACTGTGGAGCTTGCAAACAGATATTGCTGAAACAAGACAGTAACAGGTAAGATTGACAAGATAAACACACAAAAAGGAGAGCCACATGACCAAATCATTGACTCAAATTATCAATGCTTCATATTTGTTAATGTTAACAATGATCTATAGCCTACTGACACACACCACTGTCTCCAATGTTAACAGTGATCTATAGTCTACTGACACACACCACTATCTCCAAAGTTAACAGTGATCTATAGCCTACTGACACACACCACTATCTCCAATGTTAACAGAGGCCTATAGTCTACTGACACACACCACTATCTCAAATGTTAACAGTGATCTATAGTCTACTGACACACACCACTATCTCAAATGTTAACAGTGATCTGTAGTCTACTGACACACACCATTATCTCCTATGTTAACACTGATTTATAGCCTACTGACACACACCACTATCTCCATTGTTAACAGTGATCTATAGTCTACTGACACACACCACTATCTCAAATGTTAACAGTGATCTGTAGTCTACTGACACACACCACTACCTCTAACGTTAACAGCGATCCATAGCTTACTGACACACACCACTATCTCCATTCTTAACAGTGATCTATAGTCTACTGACACACACCACTATCTCCACTCAACAGTGATCTATAGTCTACTGACACACACCACTATCTCCAATGTTAACAGTGATCTATAGTCTACTGACACACACCACTATCTCCATTGTTAACAGTGATCTATAGTGTACTGACACACACCACTATCTCCAAAGTTAACAGTGATCTATAGCCTACTGACACACACCACTATCTCCAATGTTAACAGTGACCTATAGTGTACTGACACACACCACTATCTCCAATATTAACAGTGATCTATAGTCTACTGACACACACCACTATCTCCAATATTAACAGTGATCTATAGTCTACTGACACACACCACTATCTCCAATGTTAACAATGATCTATAGTCTACTGACACACACCACTATCTCCAATCTTAACAGTGATCTATAGTCTACTGACACACACCACTATCTCCAATGTTAACAGTGATCTGTAGTCTACTGACACGCACCACTATCTCCAATCTTAACAGTGATCTATAGTCTACTGACATGCACCACTATCTCCAATATTAACAGTGATCTATAGTCTACTGACACGCACCACTATCTCCATTGTTAATAGTGATCTATAATCTACTGACATGCACCACTATCTCCAATATTAACAGTGATCTATAGTCTACTGACACACACCACTATCTCCAATGTTAACAGTGATCTATAGCCTACTGACACACACCACTATCTCCGATGTTAACAGTGATCTGTAGTCTCCAATGTTAACAGTGATCTGTAGTCTCCAATGTTAACAGTGATCTATAGTGTACTGACACACACCACTATCTCCAATGTTAACAGTGATCTATAGTCTACTGACACACACCACTATCTCCAATGTTAACAGTGATCTGTAGTCTCCAATGTTAACAGTGATCTGTAGTCTACTGACACACACCACTATCTCCAATGTTAACAGTGATCTATAGCCTACTGACACACACCACTATCTCCAATGTTAACAGTGATCTATAGCCTACTGACACACACCACTATCTCCAATGTTAACAGCGATCTATAGTGTACTGACACACACCACTATCTCCAATGTTAACAGTGATCTGTAGTCTCCAATGTTAACAGTGATCTATAGTGTACTGACACACACCACTATCTCCAATGTTAACAGTGATCTATAGTCTACTGACACACACCACTATCTCCAATGTTAACAGCGATCTATAGCCTACTGACACACACCACTATCTCCAATGTTAACAGTGATCTGTAGTCTCCAATGTTAACAGTGATCTATAGTGTACTGACAGCATATGTTTTGTTGTTGTCTTGTGGCTGGAACAGCTGTGTGGGACGTTGGAGCAAGGAACATGAGATATTCATCTTCAGTGTGTGGCCCTTATGCTGCTGATGTTCCTCTGGCACCAACAGGAGGTCACACGTGTGACAGTACACACGGGCAGAATCATGGACCTGTGTGTGTTGTAGGCGCTGACTTCTGCAACAAAACATGGAGAGAACACAACCCCTTGAGTACCAGTACCACAAATATGGCTGCTGTGGCTGATGATCTGTATGCTGTGAAAAGGCCAGAATAATTGTATTAATATTCAATATGGATTAATGGTGTAGTGGTTGATTTGATGCTGATTTAACATAAATTCTTTCAACAAAACTACAAATTAAAGACAAAAATATACTTGTAATCTAACCATGCTAACTGTCTAACACATTCATAAGTCATGAAAATTAAACCAGGGCAGGCTCATCCATTAATACAAGCAACATTCATCTGGCCTTATCACATGTTATCAAAAACCATGAGAGTAGATCAGATAAATTACCATATCTAACATGCCACATAAGTGACCTGTGCCAGTAAGTGCCCCTCATCAACTTTTAGACAAATCTGTAAGTACCGGTAATTGTTACAAGCGCCTGAAAATTTACATGACAATCCATATTTTCTTGTGTATATTAGTTTTTTACAGAAAACAGCAGCGCAGAAGGGGAATGTAACTGCCTTGTAACTATTTATTTAGTTCAAACATCAATGAAATTAAAACTTTCTATCTGATAATTACCAGGCAATTATTTCACCTTCCACACTGCTTTTCACTACCGCTTGCTATTAACTCAGCATGCATGTTGTGTATGGTTTTAATAACAGTCCCCAACTTGTCAATTTTCTAAGCACTTGGGAGCTCTTATTTTGGCAAATATGGTAACTTTGTTATGCATGACATACTAAATTTATTTTTTATTGGAATTATAATAATTTATACATGCTGCAGTAAGAAATTCACAACCTTTGCTCTATAATACACATGAGATGCAAAGGTGTTCACTTGCTTGTAGCAGATAGTAAACTCAGGGATGTTTCCGAAATGACCATTTAATTTTTTTTAACAACACATTGTTTAACTGCAGGTCATCTTGACATAATATGGCAGTAATCAATGGCTGCCTATCAATTAATACCTTCTACATTAAAAAGTGCAGGTTTGTACCATATGGACAAACAAATAATCACATATCTTACTGGATGTTCTGATAATTAGTTAAAAGATAGCTCATACCGATTCCACAAATCCTCGTGGGAATATTTGGGTGAATTTCCCTTGGTAATTAGCTTGCGTTCCTCCATCTTTTCTTTTGATATTTTTTCATCTGCATACTGGAAGAATCGACATTGTTTTCTGTCTCTGAAGGCAGAACATGCGAAGAACTTTCTCTGTTTCCCTGGCTTGTCTCCATCCTGGTCGTACTTGATAAACAACAGTGCAGGTCCTAGGGAGAAACACAATCACCAGGACTTGTCAAGTGGGATACACAGAGGTCAACATGTGAGTGTGTTTTGGGATGGTAAACATTCTGTATTAGGAATAATGGAGAGCTAAGTACACAGTGTTTATTCCTAATACAGGATATTTACCATCCCAAAACACACAAGTGTGATAACTTCTTTATCGTGTTTATCATAAGGCATCTCTCTTAAAATCTGAATTAGAAAAACCTAGTCTTTTCTGTCGCAAACTGTAAACACAAACACAGCAAACGTTCCTGGTATGCGTACATTAGTCATGTCAATATATCACATCACAAGCTCAGTGATTAGTCCGTCAGAGACAAGAGTGAATATGTAAGAGTGAATATTATCCTACCCTATTTTTTATCCCGGGGATGAAATTCTCTAGTTTCAGGATGATTCTCCCTAGTGAATTTTAACCCATACCAGTGTGTGTTTAATCCTATCCTATACTATACCCTAGAGTAAAATTTCCACCGGGATAATATTTAGGTAGGATACATAATATAGATCCAACTGAAACCTAGTTTTTTAGACAGTGGTGTAACTGCATATAACAAAATGGTAGTTGACTGCACATATTCATTTCTACTTGCCTTTTGTGGCAATGGCAAAGAAATGCAGTCAGATGTCAACACAGCAACTAAATACAACAAGAGAACATTTTGGACACATTTCGGCCAAGTCCAACAGTTTTAATCTGGGGAACAAACCCCAAGCAGCAAAGTTCTACAAGCCCATATATGGAAACTGATCCTGTGGGTGTTTTGCAACTTAAACCTCCAAACATGCTCAAGTTACCAAAACATGTCAAATGCACCATCTACATTCCTGTTAGACACTGATTCTCAGGTAATGTAAACTATTATTTTAATAATAATAACAATTTCCAAGTAATTGGAGCAGATCGTCTATGGTTAATGGATTGCCAACAGACATGGGTTGCACAATGTTTGTTTGTAAACACTGAAAGTAGTACCTACATGACCTTCCATATTTGCATCTTCTTCTGTTGTTTTTAAGGGCAATTATTAACACAGCTCAACAAGTGACTGTAGAATGACTGTCACAAATCCAATGGGCTCTATATCAACTATTGGTGACCACCTCTAGTAGACACTAGTGCCAACTCTGACAATGGTGTCCTTTGCATACAAAAAACAGAAGCCCATCCAGGATTTTGAAAGAGGGCATGTGCACGTAATACCCAAGTCACAAAGTGACTTGGCTGAGGTCTGACATGTAAAGTGTCTGAAAAAAGGGGATGAGCATTCCCTGAACCCCTCCTGTGGATCTGCCAGTGAAAACTATCATCTGTAATCACAACCATGCAACATCCATGGACTTCCCTGGTCCTCCGTCCTGTTCTAAAGGCCTTGCTCCTACAACTCAAGTCACGTTCCTAGAAATCTCCATGGGTATTTTGATATTTCTATTTCAGTCACTGTCAGCGTAATTTCTTCACAAGGTAGAAAGTTTGTGGTTTTTAAACTGACTGGATAACACTTTCTGCTGACCCAGCATTTTTAGTATTTACATAAATTGTAACAATTACGATGTTTACAGTAACTAAAAATGCCTTTTTAGGCCTGTACTCATCATTGTCAAGCAGATTTCACAGTGATGTCAGTCTCCCTGCATCAACATACCTTCATCTATTCTCCAACACTTAAACCATTAATTGCAAGGGCCCCTCCCTTTGTTTGCAGCTGGCAATTCAAAGTTTGTCACATATTAACAGTGATTAATGAACTTGAAGTGTCCCTTTAACATTTTCTTTAAATAATCATTAGTATCTCATTTTCATTAACACCGAATTAAAAGTATTTCAAACCGTAGTATTGTTGTGTTATTAATATGTGCATGAAAAGCTTAATTGCTGTAATTAAGTTGCATTGGGTAAGTGATTGCATATCAAATATTATTCACATACAGGCATGTGTCACACATGGAATTTGGAAATACATGTTACAATTTGCAAATTATCATGATTATGACCTTTCTATGCCAAATACTAGCATTTGTTTGTTTGTTGTTTAACACCACACTCACATTATTCCTGCAATATGACGACGGTCTGTGTATAACCAGTTCTGGGCCGGGCAATTCAGTGTTTGACATTATGAGAATCGGTCCACACAATTGGGATTCAATGACATGCACCAACCAAGGTGGGAGCCTGACCACTCAATCCCATTAGTCGCATTTATGACAAGCATAGTCGCCTGCCAAATACTAGTATATACTAGTATATACTGTTGTACATTATTTATATATCAGTGTTTAACATGTTTAAGGATAGGAGTTCAGACAGGTATCTGGCTGCCTGTTTATTACAGTTGAAAAATGAAATAACTATTATTTAACCATGTTACCCAGGTGTACCATGTGAGTATAGTTATTTTGTGTGAACTGTAATCATGGTAATAGTTATTGTACTGGAAATAATAAAGTTTCTTGTAAAGAAAACAATTGTTTGCATTTCTTTATACATACCATGCATGCACTGTGGTGAATAATGGTAATGGTGTGAATGGAAACATATTCAAACATTTTACAGTTTTCGTATACCGGTACATGCAAGTGTAGCAGGGTGTGGTGTCATCCCACAGATGACAGCCTTACCTTGTCAGCTTGCTGGGGTTAACCTCTTTGGTCATGTGGACAAGGCGTCGGACCTCTGATCAGAAGGTCCGTGGTTTGAATCCCATCACGGGGCTCGAAAATTTTATGGCCACCCAAGCAAAGGAACAAAGCCAAGGCATTGGACACTTGAATGTCATAATTTCAGTTGCTTCCTAATTTTATCTTTTCAAAGTGAAAAAGACGTTTTGAAACTCTATATGACAAGTAGAGTGAGCGAATTAAAATGTAATGTTGCACTGGCATTATTTCAGCCATATAGCGACAAAAAAGTTGATATGTATACAAGTGAGTTATGAAGTTAGATCTAAAAACAAAGCTGACAAACATATTTGACAAGTAGAAAACAAGGCTGTAAATAATAATAGCTAGTTCCTGTGCATTCCTGCCCTTGCAGTTAATAGTCAGTAAATAAATATATTTACCCCCTATATAGTTCTCTACTTATATATACGGGAAATATATTATTATTATTATTATCATTATTTACTGATCAATAACGAGTTCCTGTGGTAGGATGTCAAACTCCAACTCCCGAAGTCCAAGTCAGCTCCAAAAACATCTTAAATTTACACTGGACTTTACTCTTGATTATAGCGCACCAATAAGTATCATTTCAAATGCTATTAAAAACTCGTATCTGTTATTATGAAGACCCTACCATGAGGACATGACGGTACATCCAGATCCTCTGTGTCTAGAATAACGTCGACATTACTAATATTCGCCGACATCGCAACAACACGTGTTTTTGTTGTAAAATGTAAACTTCCGGAAAGGGAGGTCACTCTCATTTCGACAAAAATACGTCCAATGACCTACTGGTTCCTTGTTCAAATCCTACTACTGCGATTGAATATTTATTCAGAAGATCCACCACCCATGTTTTGCGTTTTTTATTTATGTGTTGTTAATTCCATAACAAGAAAAGTATTTAAAAAAACAAACTCATTACATTTAATTACGACTTATGACAAACGTAAGTGTGAACTCTTTGTCGCAAATGAGTAATGCACTGTACAGTTTCTGAAACAAAAAATAAATACCAGACTGCAATCAGGACATACAGCATGCCCCGACGGAACTCCTCAGGCCCCCATTAAAAAACAGAACGGCAGGTTATTGTGACAAATAAATCGACACGCAAATGTACCACAGGCTATGAGCTAGGATCCTTACAAATTTGAAACTACGAGCCCGACACAAGATCTACATGATGCTACGCTTATTTCGAACACTGAATGCACATGACATTAATTCAGATAATATATGTTGTGAAGGAAGTTAATAATACACCCTAGTCAAGTCTTTGATAGATATTTAGATGTTGAAAAATCCAGAAAACAAATAACTGTACGGAACACAACACCTTCACTGTTCATAACAATGTTACATAGCTGGGCACCCTACAGCAGTTTAGCCAGTTTATATAAAACATATGTTTTATAACAATACTGAAAGGTTTAGCTAAGACTGATAACTTTTTAAACAAAGAGTATGCACGTGTCCATAATGTCACGTGTCAAGACAAATAGAGCTCTTAGCTCTTCATACACAAACGCGATTGTGAAGTTATGTTTGTTTTTATAATTCTTTGTTTGTACGTTTTATTTTATGAATGTAATCCGCCTCTATGAGCAGTTTCACGTGTAAAAAGAATTACGTTATTGGTACTCAAATATTATCATTGTCATTATCAAAGACTTACATTTTGACAGTGATTTTGACACATTGTTTGGGGGCACGGGTGGCCCAGTCGCCTTAACGCGCCGCGATTCACTGTGCAGCGTTGCATCCCTTGGGCACGCCAGAAACCTATGATTATGTTTCTAGGTTTGTCAGCAACATGCCGGTGCTCGTGGGCTTCACCGAAGTGGTAAACATCTGAGACCTGCATCACTTCGGACATTCCTACCACATTAAACTGACACGCCGTGTTAAAAGTGGCGTTAAACCCAACTCACTCACTCACTCACTCACTCACTCACTCACTCACTCACTCACTCACTGACACATTGTTTCTCTTGTATGTATATAAGCAGTATTGTTGCTGAAGGTTTCGTTTGCCTTGTGTTTTTCAGGGTTCTCTGCCAACTGACTTATTTCTCAGTCAATACTCCCATGATAAGGAGACCCTTAGAGACCCACTAATATTAGTTTAAAATCTAATGACACAAACGGTGAAAGACACGTCGGACCAGTAGACACAATGGTTTAGACATATACGGCCATCGTATTGCTATTTTTCAATTCAGAGGATTCTGCTCCCAAGCACCCCAAATGTGACACACCAGTGACGAAAAGGATGTCCAATGCAATTCACTACTTTGACTTGTAACATATGTTCCTGTGTTCCAGTGCTGCAGGATACGCTCACCTTTTCTCTAACACCTGGTATCATCACTATTTGATAGTGATTAATAAGAGACATGATCATGATGTAATCAGGATTTCTTATGAATATGGAAAGAATTTAGTCGCCTTTGTCTCGGTGAGGATCAGGTGGCCACAATGGACGGCCTGACTGGTGGTGAGTGATTGTACCTCAACGCAGTGGATCGTTACTCAAGCATCATGCTATCGACTATATCTAGACTGCTGTGATACAGCTAGAGTATGGCTGATTGCAGATGAAGACAATGCTCACTTACTGAGACTCTCGTTAAGTAAACTAGTCCTCTTAGCAGCTGCCTTGTTGATAATCTCATTGATAATGCATTTGGAATTTTGAAAAGTGATACAGAAAGTGGTTAAATATGTTCAGGCTCATTTCTTGTGTTGCTTCTGTAAAAAAAACCCATCTGTAATATACACACGGACATACGGACTGTCAGGTACATGTTCGGTCTTCGGGCATATTAATTAAGATTACTTACAGTTGGACATGGATGGGGCAGGGTGCTTAACACAACGAATACAGTACTAGTATTTCCCATATGCTGACATTGTAGTCTAAGGTACTGCATTCGGCTACAGACAGTGCAGTAGCTGCAGTCTGGAGGTGCTGATTGTGGGCTGTATGGATAATGATCCTTCGTCTGCATGAGTTCCAATATTGTGCTACTGTGGGTTTTCCTTCAACATGAAGGGACATGCTGTAATACTACTTACACACATCATTAAGCCTGAACTCCCTCACAGTATGGGCGATCAGTTAGCTTCTCCTTGATTGACCATGACTTTGGCCCATACAGATGCAGCCATGAGCTCTTTCATCACTCTGGCTGTATTTAAAGGGAATGAGTTTTGTTTAACTCGCCTTTGAATGTATTTCAGCATGAGGTGTCAGCTTGATGTGGGAGGAAGCCGGAGGTGATGCAGGGTTTAGGCGTCTTCCACACTTTGGTACCAGGTGTGCGGAAGGTCCGGGGTTCGATCTACATCGCGTCATACCAGAGACCATATAATCTATTATATGGTCTCTGGTCATACCAAGAGACGTAAAAATATAGTACTTGTTGTTACCCTGCCTGGCACTCGGCATAAAGACGCTAAAACAACGACTGGTCGGCTCGGAGTCAGTATACTGTGTCTGAGTGGAGTATTCATGTCAATCTGCGGCATGGTATCTCAGTGAAATCTAGCACTATAAAATCAGCATTAGTCCTTGTTCAAGCAGCCACACACACGTGCATGCACCTGGTTATATAAGAACAATAATCTTGGATGCGACCCTTAACCCCATTTCACCTCACTTCTTCCACTTTGGTGAAAGCCACGAGCATGGGTATGGTGCCGACAACCTAGAAACAGAATCAGGACGGCTCTAGGATTTACATCCATGATCATATGTTTTTGCACGTCAAGGGGTGCAACTCTGCAGAGCAAATATCGGCAACTGGTCCCCCTCTTTTTCAAACTAGATTTAATGAGTGTAAAGCATTGTATCAATGACATAAATACAGCATCCGTTTTTCAATGTTTATTTGCATAATGATGATGGTTAACTCACATCCTCTGTATATCACTACATTCTTACATTCAACTAATACAACTGGATTAGTATTGTACAACATCACCCATGACACTATCACAAGGTTTGTAAAGCTTGTATATTCTTTGGTCCATTTTGGTATCATTGTATCAGCAGGGAAGATGGAATGCCAGGGTTTCCATAGCAACACTTACTATTTTCACTCAGGCCAGACCAATAGCTTTTCTTGTTTTATGGATGAGTCTAAACTTTTGCAAAAGTCGAACTTAAGGTTGGTATGCTCTACTGTGATTAAAAATGTGTGTTTTTTTCGACATTTTGAACTTGCATTTCTGTCATAGTCTTTATTTCAAAAGCTAAAAGTGAAAATCCTGAAAAAGGAATTAATCTCAACATCAATTTTTTATTTCATTCTTCTTTTATGAATTATTGACTAAGACAAGAAAATTGGCCTGGCCTTATTGAATAACATATACTAAGATATGTGTAATTGATATCACAAATAGAACTTGTGACGTTCTATGAGTTTGAATGGCCATTATATGATTTGCAATTTTGTACTTCATTTTGAAGTATTTGTTAGGCAGAATAAATGCATTTTTCTTATATATGATTATATCATAATAACCTAAACAAATGTTGATTAAATATCAATGTGGCACAATATTACAAATTCTAGTTATTGATGTAGCTATTAACAATATTGGTCTCATTTGTTGTTTTTTAAATCACAATGTTAATGTTTGACTTCTTGGAAGCAGTATCTCCTGAGAAGGAAATATGTATCTTGCATCCGTGCATTCATGCATATCATTAAGGCACATGAGACATCTTGATTGTAAGTATCAAGCATACACAAAGCCATGTGTGAAAAATTGTTTCTTTGTCTTTGAAAGATTACTGTGGTCATCTTCTGCTCGAGAAATCGAACATGTCAAAATTACAAATTTGCTAATGAAATCTACAATTATATATCACAGATTTTATTGTGAAACCATTTTGTCTTGCATGACACTTGAAAATTTCTATAAACTAGCTTAGCACTCTTATCTATATGAAAACAAAGATATAAATACTTGTGAATGGGCTATCATCTCTAGAAAGTACATCATATATATAACCATTGAGGCATATATATATATGTCCTTGAAGTACTAAGTGGGTTTACACCACTCAAACTATAACCTACTGCAAATGAACAAGATATGTATAATTATGATATAACATACACATTCTCAAAGAACATTGCAAAGTGTATTAAAGTTTTCTATGCAAGCAATTGTGTAAGAAATATGTACAATACAGATCTTAAACTGCTATAGATAGTGTTTACTGTATTCGACGTAATAAGCACCCAGGGGGCTCTCAAAATTAGAAATAGGGGGCTCTTATAAGAATACTATTTTGGTGAAAAAAACAGAGTTGAAAGATACATTTCGTGGTTTATACTGACAGCCTGAAATGTTTATGTATATATTTTTGCAGAATTTAATTGCCCATAATTAAGGGTGCATATAACACACGAGTGCGTATCATAAGCGAATAAATAAGTCTTGTGTACATTGATCAATCGGAAGGGGTGCTAATTGGGATTGTTCACTAGCCAATATATTAGCAAATGTCGCCGTGGGCGCTTATTAGAGCGGGGCACTTATTACGTTGAATACGGTATGTATAAAAGATATCACTCTAAAGAAAATTTACAGGAAAGCGTTAAACTATAAATTATCTACAATATATTAAAGTAAAATTGTATAATCATGCACTAAGACTGTTAAATGGTCATATATACTGTGTGATCTCAAAATTTCAACCATTTGTTTGTTTGGTCAAAACAGAGTTTATTTTGTTGCAAGTCCAAGAAAAATGTAATTTTGACAGGTGGAAATATTTAAATTCAATATCTAGTTTGACAATTATGGTATTAATCAGTCTTGGACAGCAGTGACCACAACAACAATCTCTTGACCACAGCAGCAGTCTCTTGACCACAGCAGCAATCATTGTAGTAGCCCTGCTGACACTGGGTCATGGAATTACAGGTACTCCGTACATAAGTAATGAAATATTCAAAATATAACATCATATCTTAATGGCAGTGATAAACTGTTGTGGCATATTGGTGTCCATGCTTCTCAAACAGAACTTGATATCTGTTTGGGTCAATCTCGCTAAACTTGCTAGGTTAATGTCTGTTTGGTATTAAAGTACATCAGTGCTACCGGAAGGTCAAAACATAAAGAAGTTACAGATTATCTATTTTTTTAAAACTAGTGTGGCAAAACAATTTCTATGTGTTATGAATCGTTAATATAATATTTTGGTGGCAGTCTTTTTCTTTCAAAATGGATTATTAAGTTGATCTAACAAATTCATAAATGTTCACATGCCCTGTAAGTCCCATGTTGTAGAATCTCACAGCACATGAATCTCAACATGTATTGAATAGGACTTCAACTGTACATTCTTGTCATTACTATCCTCTCTGTGCTGGGGCTTACATTCAATTTCTAGTCTATATTCTCCTTTTTCGCGTAACCTACGAGTAAAATGTAAAGAGCTAATTCCTTTCTTTTTATGCATGGAGAATATTCCCTCTTCATTTCCGTTAATAATGGTATATTCCACATTGTTCAGGAGAGCACGCGTGGATGGCAGGACTTTGATGACACGTGCCTTTGGTCGAGTTTGTTTCCGCTTCAGATAAAGGACAAGAGGTCTGAACTCTGGGTTCTTGATGTCACTGGATGGGGCTGTCACATTGACAGCTTTGTGCTTGTGCTGAAATAGATTTGAATGTAAATGCTAATGAATGCTTCAATCTCTTAAAGTTATCCTAGTGAGCAAAGTAGGTCCTTGGTGTCAGAACAGTCAATTAAGCTAGGGGTCAGGTGTTGATGAGACCATCATTGTAGCTTTAATATTATTAACTGAGAACAGAAATTGTATCACTTTTTGGTCATTCTACGCATACTAATGAAAACTATATTTGTCCATTTCACAAAGCTGCAAGGTTGTTAATTTAAAAAAAAAACATCATCATAATCCATGAGTGAGTGAGTAGGTATAGTTTTACGCCGCTTATAGCAATATTCCATCAATATCACGGCGGGGGACACCAGAAATGGGCTTCACACATTGTACCCATGTCGGGAATCGAACCCGTGTCTTCGGCGTGATGAGCGAACGCTTTAACCACTAGGCTACCCGACTGCCCTCATAATCCATGAAGTCACTTGTCATCATATATATTTTTTTCTGGGGAAAACTTTATTATCAGTACTCACATGTCTGAGTTTTCTACGTTGTAAATAAATATCCCTCTTTTGCCTGCTTCTATATTTCTCCATTTCAGCCTCAGGATTCAGCTCAAACTTGTGTATGTGAGCATCCAAGTCCTCCTCCTCATCTTCAAAGTCGGGCAAACTTCTCTTGGCTCTCTTGGTCAGAGGAAGATCCCCAAAGTCATGGTCACACTGGTAACACCCTTCCCCTGGAGGCAGCTTCCCACCGGTGGGGCCAGCCGCATGGGGCAGCTGCACCCCCTCAGGGTACACCCTCTCCTCTCTGCCACTGCCGCCCGGCGGGGTGATTGTTGAGATGCAGTGACTGAAACATGACGGCCATTGCTTACAGGCAGGCAGTAAGAAGCAGGGATTCTGTGTTTATTTTCATGCTGATTTTACTAAATTTTACTAAGTAGCAACTGCTACTTTATGTCCTATAAGTATTTGTTTTGAGAAAATTGTGTCTGTATTCCTTGTACATTCTTACCCTTGTCCTATTGGTTGGTATCCATTTGGACAGCCACAAGAGAAGCCCTGTGCAGTGGGAGAACAGCCAAACACACAGGGGTTGCCGCCACAGGCATTGGGGTCTGAAACATGGAGAGTAGTTCAGTAGTGTGTAGGTTCATAAAATATATCAGGCTAGAATATACATTTCTTTGTAGAAGTAATGGCATAAAAAGTAACTTAGGGACAAGTATATCATATCGGAGCAATGGTGCACCTTTGTCTTTCTGATTTCACCATTTATCAAGATACTATCTTGTTAAAGAGTTGTGTGCACTGTAAGCAATGTCGAGTACAGATAGTTAATACCAAAGTTGATCATTTGCAATTAGCTGACCACTAGAGTGATTGCACAACAATTTCTTGTCTAGTTAAATTATCAATTTGCCTGTATAAAAAGATCCAGGAAAGGTTACATGTTTCCCTATTGTATGTACTCACACAATTCTGGTGTTCTGGTCTCAAATGATGATAGACATCAAATATAGAAGCTATTGACACGGGACCCAACACAAGGATCTACGTATCCACTTTTTACAATTATCCAAGGGGTCTAGTCAACAAGTTGTTTGTGTGTATTGAGAAGCAGTCCTGTTTGATAATTGGTCATATGTATTACTCGTATATACAATTGGCTTATTTATTGTATAATATATATATTTTCTCCCATGACACATACCGACACAAGACGACATCTGCATGTCAAATGTCTGTCCACCGGAACACTGACAGTCGAAACTGCCAGGAATATTGATGCAGATGGCGACACCACACAGGAACTGGTCCATACACTCATTCTCATCTACAGGGGAAACATCAACATTAACACAGCATTATTTCATGAAAACACATCATTTAATAGATTTCTTTTCATGACTGTTGTCCAAAATATAAGCATCATTCATTGCTGCACTTCTGTGTTAGACTGGTTCCTGTCTGTATTTCCACTGCATTCATCATCTATGTGTTCATAGTCTATTTAAATGAATCGGAATAATGTTATTATCCATGGAAATCTGACCTGCACATTGAGGCAACAAGGTGCTTTGAGCATAATAAATGATCATGTTAAACATACAGCAAAGCAGTTGCTGAGAATTGAATGACAGTGTGTCATAAGTTGTACTGACCATAGCACTGTCCACTGTAGTGTTGTGTGTATCCTGGTGGACACTCGCACCTGAAGCTGCCCGGAACGTTCTCGCACTCGCCCTCACACTGACCATCCTCGCACTCATCCATGTCTGGACACAAGAAATCATATGTGGTCATCACTTGTAAGGTCCATCATCAATACGACACAGTCTTGTACTCACTACATTCCTCAGGCCCGTCAACATAGATAATGTAGTATCATCAGCAATACTACATACAAGTATTTGTCAACTGATAGTCTCTCTTGTTAACACAGTTTACATGACCATATCCATTCAGAAATATTTCCAAGCTTGGGGATGCTCTCATTTACTCATCACCTGAAGCTCAATTCCAATAAAATGTCTGATCATTTCTGGAAGGAAAATAGTACCAGAGCTGTAGATAAGCTTTTGGTTAATTGGCTATTTTACCCATGGGTTTGATTTTTATTGGGTATCCACAATTTTTAGTGGGTTTTCAATTTTTTTAGCCACATGTTTGTTTACATTTGGGTATTTTGACTTGAAAATCTGTTTCATAGCAATCTCTGTAAATCATTTAAAACCAGATGAATAGTAGTACATGTATACACATGTTTTCCTGAATGTAACTGTCTGTAAATGAATTTCACATCGACTGATGCACAATCCTTTTATCAAACAGTTAATATATGCATATATTTCATTAGTGTTTTTATAGTTTTTGTTGCGCATTTGATTTGTCTGTATATGCCAGTTTATTTAACATGTATTTAATGCACAGCTTAATATCTACAGCTCTGTAGTATCATAATTTCATCAGGAAGTATGTCAATTGTTAGGCGCAGATTTGATATACGGTAGGTCAAATGTTCTACTTGCAAACCCTTTTCTAATTTGTGTGATATCTTGTTTTAAGATACTGACCGATGCACTTGCTGCCATCCTTGCTGGTCTTGTAGCCACGTGGACACTCACAGCGGAAACTGCCTTGAGTGTTGCGACATGTTCCAACAGGCCCACACAAGTTGGGTGTGTCAGCACACTCGTCAATGTCTGCAAACAACAACATTGTTGCTACATTATTCACTTGCTCTGTATTAGCAGGACATGTAAATCAATGACAGGCATTGATGCTGATATATCTTTATCTGCTCACACAGATGTGGACCACCAATTCTATCAATGGGTAATATTGCTGAACTAATCTTCTGTTGCTAGGTAATTTAGAACTGAATTTCACACATACTTTTCATTTTATTAGAATGTATCTATTTTAACATTTTTCCCATTATTAGTTCTGTACAAAGACAATGTCCTAAAGCCTCATCTGGAAGCAAAGACAATACCCCTAAAGTCTCACCTAGAAGCAAAGACAATGTCCTTAAGCCTCAGCTGGAAGCAAAGACAATGTCCTAAAGCCTTAGCTGGAAGCAAAGACGATGTCCTAAAGCCTCAGCTAGAAGCAAAGACAATATCCTTAAGCCTCGCCTAGAAGCAAAGACAATGTCCTTAAGCCTCACCTAGAAGCAAAGTCAATGTCCTAAAGCCTCACCTAGAAGCAAAGACAATGTCCTTAAGACTCAGCTGGAAGCAAAGACAATGTCCTAAAGCCTTAGCTGGGAGCAAAGACATTGTCCTAAAGCTTCAGCTAGAAGCAAAGACAATGTCCTAAAGCCTCAGCGGGAAGCAAAGCGATGTCCTAAAGCCTCAGCTAGAAGCAAAGACAATATCCTTAAGCCTCGCCTAGAAGCAAAGACAATGTCCTAATGCCTCACCTAGAAGCAAAGACAATGTCCTTAAGCCTCAGCTGGAAGCAAAGACAATGTCCTAAAGCCTTAGCTGGAAGCAAAGACATTGTCCTAAAGCTTCAGCTAGAAGCAAAGACAATGTCCTAAAGCCTTAGCTGGTAGCAAAGACGATGTCCTTAAGCTTCAGCTAGAAGCAAAGACAATGTCCTTAAGCCTCAGCTGGAAGCAAAGACAATGTCCTTAAGCCTCAGCTGGAAGCAAAGACAATGTCCTAAAGCTTCAGCTAGAAGCAAAGACAATGTCCTATAGCCTCAGCTGGAAGCAAACACTCTCTGCACAATGTCCTACAGTTCCTGGAAGTAATGATGTTTTGCACAATGTCCTACAGTCTCAGCTGAAAGTAATAACACTCTGTACAACGTTGCACAGTCTTACCATCACATTGCCTCGTCCTCCCTTTCCTGTAGCCCGGAGGACACTCACACTCGAAGCTGCCAGGAGTGTTGATACACCGATCTCGGCAGTTGTGCTGCATCGTGGTGCACTCATCAAGATCTGCAATGTACCGGTAAGTCAATATATATAATCATGAACATACATGAATATTATAAAAATAATTAGCAGTACTCTTGATGAGGTCAGTATGAAAAAACAAGGACCCTGAGGTGGTCTGACCGCTGAAAAGGTCAGGTCCGGATCCGAGTCCGAGGGTCCTTGTTTTCGCATATTGACCTCGTCAAAAGTAATCATTCGCTTTGTTATACCAAAATTCACTTTAGAGTTGATTAATCCTTTAAACCATCCTCTGTTTCATTACAGTAACTTAGCTGTGAATCATGAAATGTTAGTCCTAGATGCCATCTTGTTTTCTAGCAGACGAGTCAATATTCATCACATGACAGGTCAATACTGATCATGTGACGAATCAACATTCGAGGTCTGTGTCAGTCACATGATTTTGGGGTCAACATTCAAATGTATTGCTTTGTCACATGGTACAGATTAACCAATAGAATTGCAAGATTCTCAAAATGACCATATATATGAACCCCAAGTGCTGAAGTTAAAACTCATGGATCTTAACCAGCTTCAAGCACAATCATTAGACCCTGGCATGACTAAGGAACACAATTCTGAAATGTGGCACCCTAGGCCACTGCTCTCCTGTGCACCAAACCTGTTTTGCAATAAGAAATGAAAGGTATTGAAAAATGTGTTTTTCTATGCACAAGTATACATGTAGATAGTTGTTGTGACTATGTATTTGAACTTAGAAATAATTCTGTTCTCTGACCTCTGCACGTCTTGCCATCAGCGTTAAGAACATATCCACGAGGACAAGTACACAAGAAGCTCCCATCTGTGTTCTGACATGTGAACTCACACGGCTTGGGGTCAAGCCGACACTCATCAATATCTGAAATCAAGGGAGTTAACTTTGAAATTGTGTAAAACACTACACAATGATATCGTACATATTATATAAAATGGGTAGAACAATAACCATCACCAAGAAACATTCCACAATTCAAATTTATCACTATTTCCATAATTCTCTAAGTAAAACTGACCAAACCTCTATTTCCTCCATGAAACTGTTTACTATATACCTACCCACACATCTCTTGCCGGAAGCATCAGTTTTGTAACCCTTGTTACAGACGCATCTGTAGGAGCCCATCGTGTTCAGACAACGGCCATTGGCACAAGCGTCAGGCATATCTGCACACTCATCAATATCTGAAGTAAAGACGTGAGAATGCAGAAAATAATAGTAATAGATTTTACACAAACTTCCTTGGCTATCGTGGAACATATGGCTTTGTGATCTGCCAATTTTAACAGAATTGATAGTCCTCAATGAGTATGTACAATGACAATACGATTTCAGCCAGGTAACATGGCAGTATGGTAACAGATTCCCTAAACCATCCAGTACTCCACCACCCTGAATAGACCATCTGAAATCTTCAGACTTATTTGCCGATGTAGAGCAAAATCGTACCTTGTCCATCTGGAGTGTAGCCAGGACCTTGTGGACACAGCTGCTTGTACTGGACTGGAAGCATAGAACATTTGGTACAAAAAGGGTATTGAGATACACAGATTTCAAATGATCATGCAAAGAGTCCTAAAGCAACAAAATTCAAACCCATCATCTTAAAATATTCATGGATTATCAGACTAACTTTGTTTATCACTAGGATCACATATTTGCATGGTCCATTCTTTCACAAAGCTGGGCAACACACATTTTACATACAATTGAACAGGTTGAACAAACAGAAAGGGACAATCAATATGGAGCTGAAGTGATTGTGTTTGTTTGTAATATCTTTTGTCCTTTTGATAACAAGTTATTTTACACTTTTTCTTGGATTTGTTTGTTTGTTTGTTTTTGTTTAACACCCCACTCAGCAATATTCCAGCTATATGATGGCGGTATGTAAATAATTGAGTCTGGAACAGACAATCCAGTGATTGACATCATGAGCATCGATCCACCTAATTGGGATACAACAACATTCATCAACCAAGTCCGCGAGCCTGACCACCCAATCCCGTTAGTCACCTCTTACGACAAGCATAGTCGCTTTTTAGCATGGTTTGCTGAAGACCTATTCTACCCTGGATATTCACAGGTCTTTTTTCTTGGAGCCGATGTTAGTATGTCTATGATCCATGCCGTAAAGGTTTGCCTGACAGTACATTGATGACACCAGGTGTGCACACATCTGTGAAGGTCAAAGTCTCTATGCATTCATAGTCACTAGAATTCCATCAACAGACATTATTGGTAGTATGCATGAACTATGTCGGTGTATGCCGAGGTCATGAAGTGATTCATTGACATCTTTACTGGCCCTCCTTGTAAACCGGGGGTCGTCAGGTAGCCTTGTGGTTAAAACCTTCGCTCGTCATGCCGAAGACGTTTGATTCCTGACATGGGTACAATGTGTGAAGCCCATTTCTGGTGTCCCCCGCCGTGATATTGCTGGATTGTTGCTAAAAGCGACGTTAAGCCATACTCACTCATCACTCCTTGTAGAACTGGTGCTGCTGTGCACTAGGAAGCTGTATGCCCTGCACCCCAGCCATACCCTTAAAACCATACAGTGCTGTAGCACACTGGGAATCTGTTTGACTTACTTGTGTTGACAGGGGGGCACCTCTCACAGCCTGCAGCCCAGCCATACCCTTACAACCATACAGTGCTGTTGTACACTGGGAATCTGTTTGACTTACTTGTGTTGACAGGGGGGCACCTCTCACAGCCTGCACCCCAGCCATACCCTTACAACCATACAGTGCTGTTGTACACTGGGAATCTGTTTGACTTACTTGTGTTGACAGGGGGGCACCTCTCACAGCCTGCAGCCCAGCCATACCCTTACAACCATACAGTGCTGTTGTACACTGGGAATCTGTTTGACTTACTTGTGTTGACAGGGGGGCACCTCTCACAGCCTGCACCCCAGGCAGCTGCCATGGCACAGCAGCACTTAGCCTTGGTTGTCCGAGATACAGTTGGTGAACGCACACAGCGGCCAGCGGTCAAAGATGGGTAGCAGAAGTCTTGACGACGATCTGGTACAGAGGAATGTGTTTAATATAAGTCCCAACTGAACATATGCCGTTTCATCTACTGTTAATGCTCTAAAATTTGTGTTGACTTTAGCAGACATGTTCATTTGAACAACACAACATTTTTAGTCATATAAACTGTCACATTATCTTTTGATCCATAAATTGCTTGTATAGGAAGAAAATAAATTTTCTCACTCAACAGAGATTTATAACTGTCCATAACAACTCACCAAGACAGGCTCTGCCATTGGCGCTAGGTTCGTATCCACGGTTACACATGCATCTGTATCCTCCCCTTGTGTTGACACAGCGACCATGCTGACACAAACCACGCTGGGTGGCACACTCATTGATATCTGCAATACAATGCCATCAAGTTATAGGTACATACATGTGAATATATGGCAGTTTAAGGGAAGTGTTTTCTAACATAATGGAATACAGCAGCAGCATGTAACCAAAGTGCCTACAAAAGCTTGATTCAACTGAACAATTAGACATTCATCTTATCCATTAGATAGCCATCTCACCTACACACTGATACATTAGATAACCAACTCACCTACACACTGATCCATTAGATAACCAACTCACCTAAAAACTGATTAATTAGATAACCATCTCACCTAAACACTGATCCATTAGATAGCCATCTCACCTAAACACTGATCCATTAGATAACCAACTCACCTAAACACTGATCCATTAGATAGCCATCTCACCTAAACACTGATCCATTAGATAACCATTTTACCCGTACACTGATTCATTAGATAACCAACTCACCTACACACTGATCCATTGGATAACCAACTCACCTAAACACCGATTCATTAGATAACCATCTCACCTAAACACTGATTCATTAGATAACCAACTCACCTACACACTGATCCATTGGATAACCATCTCATCTGAACATTGATACATTAGATAACCAACTCACCTAAACACTGATCCATTGGATAACCAAATCACCTGTGCACTTATTAATCAAAACACCTGAGCACAGATCTGTCTGATAACCAACTCACCTGAACACAGATCTGTCTGATAACCAACTCACCTGAACACAGATCTGTCTGGTAACCAACTCACCTGAACACAGATCTGTCTGATAACCAACTCACCTGAACACAGATCTGTCTGGTAACCAACTCACCTGAACACAGACCTGTCAGATAACCAACTCACCTGAACACAGATCTGTCTGGTAACCAACTCACCTGAACACAGACCTGTCAGATAACCAACTCACCTGAACACAGATCTGTCTGGTAACCAACTCACCTGAACACAGACCTGTCAGATAACCAACTCACCTGAACACAGATCTGTCTGGTAACCAACTCACCTGAACACAGACCTGTCAGATAACCAACTCACCTGAACACAGATCTGTCTGATAACCAACTCACCTGAACACAGATCTGTCTGATAACCAACTCACCTGAACACAGATCTGTCTGGTAACCAACTCACCTGAACACAGACCTGTCAGATAACCAACTCACCTGAACACAGACCTGTCAGATAACCAACTTACCTGAACACAGATCTGTCTGATAACCAACTCACCTGAGCACTGATCCATGCCGACCTGTTTGAATCCCTCAGGGCAGACACACAGGAATGAGCCGATGATGTTCTTACAGTCGTATTTACAGTTGTTGGCTGGGGTCACACACTCATCAACATCTGAAACAGCCATACTCCAACTCAGATACTTGTGTCAGTGCCTTCTTATAAAACATTTAAAAAGTAAAATGTCAAATGTTCCACTTATAATAGGACTTATTGTTTATTTGTACACCTGTCCTTTCATGAAGAACTCTTCACTGTTTGTAACTATCTCCTTCACTGAGCCTTGGTGGCCCAGTTGTCCCCCACTCACCTTCACAATGGACCCCATCGTCAGCCACCCTGTATCCCATAGGACACACACAGCGGAAAGACCCAGGGATGTTCAAACAGCGGAAAGCACAGGCATTCATTGGACTGTTACACTCATCCACATCTAGAAGTTGAAAAAATCATATTTTGAATTATACAGAAATTCTAAACAAAGATAAAAAATATGTCTTAGATATTTAGATTAAAAATACATTTAGAATCGCAGCCTTGTTTGACACAGTATGTATGACATTATAAATTACAATAGTAGTTAATTAAAAACATGATTGTGCTACAGTATTGGTATCTTCTGAACATTTTGAAATTGAAACAATGATATGGAAATGCTGAGGTACCTTCACATGTCTCATGGGGCCCAGGAGCAAAGCCCTGTCTACACGAACACTGGAAGCTGCCCTCGGTGTTGGTGCAGGTACCATTACCACACATGAACGCATCCTGACACTCGTTAGCATCTGTGGGAACATACAACTTGCAGAACACATTCAAATAATCACAATATAAAATTTAATTTTATGTATTTTATTTTTTCTTCTTCACATATTTACAGAGAGCTTTCACAAAACATAAATAATTATTTATCAATATGTGTTAAATTTGAATTCAACAATGAACCTGCTCAATTCTAATTAGACAATCAGAGGTATCAAATCACAATAACCACCTCTTATTGGAACAGATCATTCCGAAAAGTTCTTCTTTCACAATCATTGTCGACAGAAATAATGACGAACACTTATAGGTCACAAAATCCAGATTTTCTACCACATGTATATGGACAGGACAGGAGCATACAGTACATGTACAGTGAAAAAAGCCAACAATAATGTTCAATATTTGGTTCATTTTAGAATTATAATCATTGAATCTTCAGAAAAAAACATTACCCGGTAACAAGGAACCACTTGGAACATTCTAGTTACTCAAAGAATTTTGCTGGTACTTTTAGATAGCATTTTACTATTTGGAAACAATACGTCCATGGTATGTCCTTTCTATGAAGTGCTGTGATACTCACCGACACAATTGTGTCCTGTGTTGTCCAGAGTGTAGCCAGCACGACACTCGCACCGGAATGAACCATCCGTGTTAACACAGATACCATTAACACATATACCTGGGAACTTCAAACACTCGTTCATATCTGAAAAGAAAGAACATGTCTCTTTCACTTCGATTCCATGTCTGTTTATCAAACATTTTCTGTCAATGACTGTAGGAGGTTTCCAGGTAAATAAGGAACAAAAGAAGTTGTTTTCTTAAACTTATTTCTTCTAAAAGTTCAAATTCAGCCTTTCATCATTCATTTTAGCCAAACTTGAGTTCTCGATTTTAATTTTGTCAGTTCTAAAATCCACCAGTTTAAGGAACTTAGATTAAGGCATGATGAAATGGTTTAGCTAGTTATGATTAAATGAAGGAAGGATTTACATTCTAGATGTTACAGATATCACCCACATTGTGTACAAAAGGTTTGATACTGGGCCATCATTATGTTTCTCAGAAGTTTAGTCTCTGGATCCACCTTTCCTGATAAACATCACTACTCACCTGTCATGAATTTCCCCGGAGTAATAACATAACCTTGACCTTGAGGACATAGGAATTTGTACCCAGCTGAAAGAAACATAGATGAAAGAAAACATTAGATACAGAATCTTACTTACAAATATGTTAGTTAATCATACTTCATATATATGTGAGGAACACAGGAGGTTCATCTCCCCCTCCGCATCCTCCTCATGTTACATATGGTTCAATGGTAAATACTACAGATTACCTTCCCCTGTGCGAGGACAGACCTCACAGTCAGAGTACGCTCCCCACGCCTGGCCCATGGAACAGCAGCAGTCAGCCTTCGTCATATTGAGTGGCTTTGGAGCCAGACAACGACCATTGTCAAACCGAGAGAAACAGAGTCCACTTCTCACATCTGAAAAACAATGATGGGGAATGGTAAGACTGTTTCATAGACCCTGGACCATATGATTTTCCCTACCGCCCAGCCCTTACTGTGATATTGTAGCACTATAAGCAAGCAGACGGATGGAGAAAAAAAAAGAGGACAATGTACCATACTATAAGCTCCCCTAGGCCCTTGGTTCCAGATACACTACTAAAATGAACATTTCCATGATAAATGATGGCTGGTTTATTTGTAAGGTTTAGGTTTCAAGCTTCATCCTACCTTGTACATATAAAAAAATATCAATTCAAGTTTGAATTAATAATCAAAGGCTAGACCAACAGGACACTATATGATTGTATTAAGTTTCACATGTGCAATGTGATACGAAACACTTCGGGTTTAAAATTCTGTCTATGCACTAGATGACCTTATACAATCAGGTAGAACGTGTTTGTGTCCTCACCTCTGCACTTCTGTCCATCCTGGCTGAGGACAAAACCTTGAGGACAGGTACAGACGAAGCCACCGACGGTGTTGCGACAATTCCCATTGTAACAGATGTTGGGGATAGTGCGGCACTCATTCTTGTCTGGAACGGAAGGGGAAAACAATGAAGCCAACAATGGCACCATCACATTCACCACCATCTGTACTCACCAACACATTCATCCCACCCCCTGTACTCACCAACACATTCACACCACCCCCCGTAATCACTAACACATTCACCCCACCCCCTGTACTCACCAATACATTCATCCCACCCCCTGTACTCACCAACACATTCATCCCACCCCCTGTACTCACCAACACATTCATCCCACCCCCTGTACTCACCAACACATTCACCCCACCCCCTGTACTCACCAACATATTCATCCCACCCCCTGTACTCACCAACACATTCACCCCACCCCCTGTACTCACCAACACATTCACCCCACCCCCTGTACTCACCAACACATTCACCCCACCCCCTGTACTCACCAATACATTCATCCCACCCCCTGTACTCACCAACACATTCATCCCACCCCCTGTACTCACCAACACATTCATCCCACCCCCTGTACTCACCAACACATTCACCCCACCCCCTGTACTCACCAACACATTCACCCCACCCCCTGTACTCACTAACACATTCACCCCACCCCCTGTACTCACCAATACATTCATCCCACCCCCTGTACTCACCAACACATTCATCCCACCCCCTGTACTCACCAACACATTCATCCCACCCCCTGTACTCACCAACACATTCACCCCACCCCCTGTACTCACCAACACATTCATCCCACCCCCTGTACTCACCAACACATTCATCCCACCCCCTGTACTCACTAATACATTCACCCCCCTGAACTTACCAATACATTCACCCCCCTGAACTCACCAATACATTCACCCCCCTGTACGCACCAACACATTCACCCCCACTCCCTGTACTCACCAATACATTCACCCCCCTGTACTCACCATCACATTCACCCCCCCTCCACTCATCAACACATTCACCCCACCCCCTGTACTCACCAACACATTCATCCATTCACTCACCAACACATTTATCACCCTGTACTCACCAACACATTAATCCCCACCCCCTGTACTCACCAACACATTCACCCCCGTCCTGTACTCACCAACACATTCACCCCCGCCCCCTAGCTGTACTCACCAACACATTCACCCCCGTCCTGTACTCACCAACACATTCACCCCCGCCCCCTAGCTGTACTCACCAACACATTCACCCCCGCCCCCTGTACTCACCAATACATTCATGCCACCCCCTGTACTCACCAACACATTCATCCCACCCCCTGTACTCACCAACACATTCACCCCCGCCCCCTAGCTGTACTCACCAACACATTCACCCCCGTCCTGTACTCACCAACACATTCACCCCCGCCCCCTAGCTGTACTCACCAACACATTCATCCCCGTCCTGTACTCACCAACACATTCACCCCCGCCCCCTAGCTGTACTCACCAACACATTCACCCCCGTCCTGTACTCACCAACACATTCATCCCCGTCCTGTACTCACCAACACATTCATCCCCGTCCTGTACTCACCAACACATTCACCCCCGTCCTGTACTCACCAACACATTCACCCCCGTCCTGTACTCACCAACACATTCACCCCCGCCCCCTAGCTGTACTCACCAACACATTCACCCCCGCCCCCTAGCTGTACTCACCAACACATTCATCCCCCCTGCGGGACTTCTGGAAGCCTTCCAGACACTGACAGATGTAGGAGCCCTCAGTGTTCTGACAGGTGCCCCGCCTGCAGGTCCCACTGATCTCTGCACACTCATCAACATCTGAAGTGTACAACAGGCAGAGGAGCATTGATTTCTTAATTGACACATGGCAAATACATGCAACTTGAATGATTCATGTATCATATTGTTTGTTTGTTGTTTAATGCCGCTCTCAGCCATATTTCAGCTATATGACGACAATCAGCATGTTAATCTTGATACAGTATCTTTGGCTCAAAGTTTCACCAGAACAAAACATTGCTTTCTTGAAGGCATGTGAATATTTTTCTAGAATTATTGCTTTGTAGAAGACAGATGAGAACTTAAATCTTCATTAACATAAAACAAATCGTATATGTGAATCACATTTGGTACAGTTTTTACATCTATGCAAGCAATATCTGGCCTACCTCTGCAGTTCTGTCTGTCGGATGACTCTGTATAGCCTGTTTGACATTGACATCGGAAACTGCCCAGTGTGTTCTGGCAGCGGCCATTTTGACAGATCCCCATCAGCATGCGACACTCATCCATATCTGGGGAGAAATTATGAGGTGAAGTTATGTAATTAGGGTTGGTTTGAGGTGATGTTATGTAATTAAGGTTGGTTTGAGGTAATGGTATGCAATTAGGGTTGGTTTGAGGTAATGTTATATATTTGGGGTTGGTTTGAGGTAATGTTATATATTTGGGGTTGGTTTGAGGTAATGGTATGAAATTAGGGTTGGTTTGAGGTAATGGTATGTAATTAGAGTTGGTTTGAGGTTATGGTATGTAATTAGGGTTGGTTTGAGGTAATGTTATATATTTTGGGTTGGTGTGAGGTAATGGTATGTAATTAGGGTTGGTTTGAGGTAATGTTATATATTTGGGGTTGGTTTGAGGTAATGTTATATATTTGGGGTTGGTTTGAGGTAATGTTATATATTTGGGGTTGGTTTGAGGTAATGTTATATATTTGGGGTTGGTGTGAGGTGATGGTATGTAATTAGGGTTGGTTTGAGGTATTGGTATGAAATTAGGGTTGGTTTGAGGTAATGGTATGTAATTAGCGTTGGCTTGAGGTAATGTTATATATTTGGGGTTGGTTTGAGGTAATGGTATGAAATTAGGGTTGGTTTGAGGTAATGGTATGTAATTAGGGTTGGTTTGAGGTAATGGTATGAAATTAGGGTTGGTTTGAGGTAATGGTATGTAATTAGCGTTGGCTTGAGGTAATGTTATATATTTGGGGTTGGTTTGAGGTAATGGTATGTAATTAGGGTTGGTTTGAGGTTATGTTATATATTTGGGGTTGGTTTGAGGTAATGGTATGTAATTAGGGTTGGTTTGAGGTAATGGTATGAAATTAGGGTTGGTTTGAGGTAATGGTATGTAATTCGGGTTGGTTTGAGGTAATGGTATGTAATTAGGGTTGGTTTGAGGTAATGGTATGTAATTCGGGTTGGTTTGAGGTAATGTTTGTATTTGGGGTTGGTTTGAGGTAATGGTATGTAATTAGGGTTGGTTTGAGGTAATGGTATGTAATTAGAGTTGGTTTGAGGTAATGGTATGAAATTAGGGTTGGTTTGAGGTAATGGTATGTAATTCTGGTTGGTTTGAGGTAATGTTATATATTTGGGGTTGGTTTGAGGTAATGGTATGTAATTAGGGTTTGTTTGAGGTAATGTTATATATTTGGGGTTGGTTTCAGGTAATGGTATGTAATTAGGGTTGGTTTGAGGTTATGTTATATATTTGGGGTTGGTTTGAGGTAATGGTATGTAATTAGGGTTGGTTTGAGGTAATGGTATGAAATTAGGGTTGGTTTGAGGTAATGGTATGTAATTCGGGTTGGTTTGAGGTAATGGTATGTAATTCGGGTTGGTTTGAGGTAATGTTTGTATTTGGGGTTGGTTTGAGGTAATGGTATGTAATTAGGGTTGGTTTGAGGTAATGGTATGTAATTAGAGTTGGTTTGAGGTAATGTTATATATTTGGGGTTGGTTTCAGGTAATGGTATGTAATTAGGGTTGGTTTGAGGTTATGTTATATATTTGGGGTTGGTTTCAGGTAATGGTATGTAATTAGGGTTGGTTTGAGGTAATGGTATGAAATTAGGGTTGGTTTGAGGTAATGGTATGTAATTCGGGTTGGTTTGAGGTAATGGTATGTAATTAGGGTTGGTTTGAGGTAATGGTATGTAATTCGGGTTGGTTTGAGGTAATGTTTGTATTTGGGGTTGGTTTGAGGTAATGGTATGTAATTAGGGTTGGTTTGAGGTAATGGTATGTAATTAGGATTGGTTTGAGGTAATGGTATGTAATTAGGGTTGGTTTAAGGTAATGTTATATATTTGGGGTTGGTTTGAGGTAATGTTATATATTTGGGGTTGGTTTGAGGTAATGGTATGTAATTAGGGTTGGTTTGAGGTAATGTTATATATTTGGGGTTGGTTTGAGGTAACAGTATGTAATTAGTGTTGGTTTGAGGTAATGGTATGTAATTAGGGTTGGTTTGAGGTAATGGTATGTAATTAGTGTTGGTTTGAGGTAATGGTATGTAATTAGGATTGGTTTGAGGTAATGGTATGTAATTAGGGTTGGTTTAAGGTAATGTTATATATTTGGGGTTGGTTTGAGGTAATGTTATATATTTGGGGTTGGTTTGAGGTAATGTTATATATTTGGGGTTGGTTTGAGGTAATGTTATATATTTGGGGTTGGTTTGAGGTAATGGTATGTAATTAGGGTTGGTTTGAGGTAATGGTATGTAATTAGGGTTGGTTTGAGGTAATGGTATGTAATTAGGGTTGGTTTGAGGTAATGTTATATATTTGGGGTTGGTTTGAGGTAATGGTATGTAATTAGGGTTGGTTTGAGGTAATGTTATACATTTGGGGTTGGTTTGAGGTAATGGTATGTAATTGGGGTTGGTTTGAGGTAATGTTATACATTTGGGGTTGGTTTGAGGTAATGGTATGTAATTGGGGTTGGTTTGAGGTAACTGAATAAAAAATGAAAAGAAAGAACACATAAAATGATCTTAGCATGTTATCAATGAAACAGCATTTCATTTGTCCTTACTTTTTCATAATTCAGGATAGGCAGATACTGACTGGCAAAACAAGATAATGGCCTGACCTGGTGTTAAAAGTGTCAAACATATCAAATCTGATTTCCTGTTATTTAAAACTAGATGGAACATTGTATGTTGTGAAGTATTTATATATATTACCAACGCAATCTCCATTCTCTGTGACCTGGAATCCACCATTGCAGCTGCACCTGAAGCTGCCGATTGTGTTTTGACAAGTTCCGTTCCTACAGCGGCCCGGCCAAGCCTGGCACTCATCAATATCTGCAAGAAACAACATGGAGGTGAAGTTTGATACAGAAGAGAGGTTTCATGAACTACTGATGACAAAACTAACTGCTGGAATTAAGTGAATAAGTTATTTCCGGATTATCATACAAGAAAACCACACATGACAATATTGATGACAGCATTTCAGTAATGCTTACTGTAATGGAAAATACCTCCACAACTTGTTTTTTAATCTGTTATTGCAAAACGTTTAGTTTTGCCAATGTTTGAACTAAATATGTTGTAGATTTCTGACATCATCATGTATGGTTTTAATAATTGCCCCCTTTGTCCTTTTTCTCAGTGCCCAGGGCATTTATTACACCGAATATGGTATCCTCGTGTTATGGGTATTCGGACACATAAGAAACAGTTGTAGTTTTCTCGCTAATCACATGAACAACTGTGAAACATCTCACTCCCTTATAAAAGACAACTTTATCTTAAAAACAAGCCGAGTATTTACAATATCTGTGTGATGCCACAGCCCTTGTTACAGTGCGAGTAATCACGATTAACATTTCTGCCCGAAAACATATGATGTCCGAAAACATATGATGATCCGATGAAATATCAATATTACAGATGAATATTACCCTAATTAACAGAATATCTAACAGAATATCTAATGATGTCTGAATGTAAGCATGTGTGACCAGCAGAGTTTGAAACCTGCCCGTTGTGGCCAAAGATACTGTTGTTGGACCAGTAGTCCAACAGGCCAATCTTCATTGGTTAACTTCACCTGTTTTGTGGCCAGTATGCTATGCACAGGACCATATGCCACCATGAGACAGTTGTTGTTAACAGGTGAATTGAACAGGACTTTGGGAATACATGATGTGTCAGTTGATAGAGAACTATGAACTATTTCCCACTAGATATGTGGCTGTGTATATTGTGTCTTATGAACTGCATAATGCTGACAACACATGAAAACCTTCACTTCGATGTGGCTGTGTACTTGAGGACTTACCAGAGCAGGAGTCTCTGCGTGCAGACAGTCGGAAGCCGTCGTGGCAGATGCAGCTGAAGCTGCCGGCAGTGTTGACACAGTCGCCATTGCTACACACCTCCGGATCCTCCAAACATTCATTTATGTCTGTAATAGAGAAGGGCATTTGTAAGCAAGGATTATATCCTACCTAAATATCATCCTGGGGGAATTTTTACTCTAGAGTACAGTAGAGGATAGGATTAAACACACTGGTAAGGGTTCAAATTCACTAGGGAGAATCATCCTGACACTAGAGAATTTCATCCCTGGGATAAAAAATAGGGTAGGATAATATTCACTTACACATTTTCATCGTAACACCTAATTTATACTGTTTTGAATTTCTTTTACCTCCCCAACCTTCTTTGAACACTCTTTGGGTATTTAATGGGGTTTTTTCACACAAAAAACATGTTAGATATTCAGCATACTACTTGGATCCCCCTACATGTTTAAGAGAGAAAATGCAACAAGATCTGACATGAATCAAACATTATCATTATCTATTCTGCTAGGTTATGTTGTAAACATGTCCCATGAAACATCTGGTCATGACACTGGTCCTGTACAGTAGTATTACATGAGGGGAGATGTGTGGTACATACCCTGGCAGCTTCTCCGGTCTGGCTTGAGTCTGTAGCCATCGGGGCAGGAACACTCATAACTGCCCTCCATGTTCACACACACTGCATTGCCCACACATGGAGACAGAGTTCCACGACACTCATCCTCATCTATGGAACATGGCAGTGAGTGAATGAGTCCATCAGTCAGGGAGTGAGTTGAGTTTACAGTCTTACGATTTCATGCTGTCACGTTTAAGTGAGAGGAAAGTGCTCCAACCACCAGATCCTGGCAGACAGCTCTGAGGTGGGACACCTTGGTTCTTGGAAACCCATGCCCTCTCTTTCACATGACTGAATGACGTGGGCTAAAGGCTATAATGTGCCAGGTTAATGTGGTGGTGCAGGTTGCAGATGTTTACCACTTGGTGAAACTCACAAGTAAGGCTATAGTGCTGGCAAACCAAGGATCATAATCAGGCATATCCGAGATTTAAACCCATGGCCACTGGATCCTGGGAAGCTAGGGGATACAACTCTGCACAATGAACACTTGAAAACTGATACACTTACCAGTATATATCATGATAATTTAACTCCTATATTTGATGCAATTAATAAAGCTAATTGCCTGTACATCTTTTGTCGGGGTAAACAATGTCTTACCTTCACAAACATGAGTTGTACGGTCATACTTGTAGCCAGGATAGCACTGACATCTGAAACTGCCCTCCGTGTCAATACAGCGGCCGTTCTCACACAGACTGGGGAGGATCCTACACTCGTTGATCTCTGTGACACATGACATGGGGAGATCAAATAATCACAAACTTGTATGGGAGTTTGATGAAAGAGTGACCTGATGTGAAGTAAAAGATTTATCCTCACTAACTTTTTCTTACTTGACATTATTTTATGTAAAGTGAGGTGACATTTTCAGAATGGCACCCAACCAGAATGAGTAGGGGAATGCTGTCATGGAGAATCAGGCAGGCATAAAATTTAGTCGTTTAGCCCACTTCCAGAAATATTTTGCATGCAATATATTTTGAAAAATGAGGGGTTAAAGGAGGATTGATCTATGTACATACACTCTTTGACTGTATCATTCTCTTGTCAATATATTTTATGTAAGATCCTAAGACACGTGCAAGACATGTACACATAGCATCATTTATGGAGTTTCCATGACAACACCGTAGACTTACTGTCCATTCCTCCCATGGGGCTATCCAGACAGAGTTGTCTGTACTCTCCTGTCAACAGAAACACATCACAGTGTACAACCATGTGGGGTACTGAACCTGGGTCACTTTCAGGAATAATCAGGAATATGTTGGGAAACAAGTTCTTTATTGGCAAGACAAGCAGACACTTAACCGCTAGGCTACCCCACTGATGTTATATAACTGTTTTTTGAAGCATTACCCACTGCATATTGCTGATGCCTTTCACTGATACACCACATGTAAATATGTTCTTCTAAATTAAGATGATAGTTCAGCAACATATCTTTACTTTCTGATAAGATCCATGCTTCTCTAAATCAACCCACATGTATCACTATTGACATGCACATTTCTATGCAGAGCCACCTGCAGGTGAGCAATTGCAATACATGGTAATACATTGTACACTCTTTCAGTTCAGGCTCCGAAAAAAACCTAGATTTGTCAAGTTATTCATGATTAAATATGAATGGGGGAAATATTGTAAAAATTAACATTACATTTTATTATTTGTTTTTTAATCAATCTGTTTTGGCCTGTTTCAGGTGCTCCAGCTGCATTAAAGACTGACTATACATGGGTATGTCTTGCATACTGAAGAGAGGTGTATTTATTCAAACTTGAATCATATTTAAACATCTTTCTGAACTAGACCTGACCACATAAATTTCTCATTATTTGGATTTTCCTGATCAGTATTCCAAGATGCAGGAATTGAAAGGAGGTTTATTCCCTTAAAAAAAAAAATAAATAAAAAAAAAAAATGTACAAAGTTAATAAAGGAAACTTTTCAATCCAAACAGAGCATGTTTTTATGTCCAGTTGGTCCCATCTTGTACTTATTATTTTTGCTATTCAAATGTATACTATTTCTAGAATCAGTAATGCAGTGAAGGCTACTACTACCGGTAATATCACCACTTACGTGTGTTCCTCAGTGGGCAGGGCTCGCATGGACCGTTCCAGGCAGCACCAATGGTGCAGCAGCACTGTCTCTTGGTCAGCTGTTTGGACATGGGCTTCTCACAGATTACCTGATACGGCGGGCGTGTTGTGTTCAAGTACTCCATGTAGCAGTTGCCCTTTCTCATGTCTGGAACCGATAACACAACATCTTGTCAATATTATGAAGGTAGTGTATGTATACTTCCTCATATCTGGAACCGATAACACAACATCTTGTCAATATTATGAAGGTAGTGTATGTATACTTCCTCATGTCTGGAACCGATAACACAACATCTTGTCAATATTATGTAGGTAGTGTTTGTATACTTCCTCATGTCTGGAACCGATAACACAACATCTTGTCAATATTATGTAGGTAGTGTATGTAAACTTCCTCATGTCTGGAATATATATACACATTAATTATCATCCAAAACTGCTTTCCACAAGAGATTTAGCTAGGGTGAAAGCAAGCAATCCCTCCAAAGAGATATTGCTACAATGAAATTGCATCTCATGCTTTGCAGACCTAATGTGTGACATCAGTTACCATGGTGTCACAATCAAAAGATATCACTAAGATCTCTGCCACTGAAGCTGGTTAGCGGAACTTTTAAACTCTGGTTATTACTGTTTACAAGTTGAAAGAGTTGGAAGAATGATGCTGGTATTAATAAATGATGATAAATAGAATCTCAATTGAGTGTCATTTGATATCAAATGTATCAACACTCATTGATAAAAGTTCAACACTCCTTGGCAAGTCTCGGAGTTTTATACTTTTAGCAACTCATGTTGATATATTTGGTATCATAAGACACTGGGGTGATGCTCTATAACACCTTGTGGATATCATATCGGCAGTACATACATGTATTATAAATACTTCATGTCTGGTGACCCATGAAGATCTGGGTTAGAATTGGTCTTCAGCAACCCATGCTTGCTGTAAGAGGCGACTATGCTTGTTGTAAGAGGCGACTAACAGGATAGGGTGGTCAGACTTGCTGTCTTGGTTGACACATGTCATCGTATCCCAGTTGCGGATCCAGAGGATGGGTTCTGGAAGCTTTTCCCATCTGATGTCATTTTGTATGCACATTGCCTACCATGATAACATGTTGATTTGGATACTGAATTCGCCCCAGCTGGATTGTCAGGTCCAATCTTGATTATTTACAGACCACAGTCATATACGTGGAATATTGCTGAGTGCAGCATTAAACAACATACAAACCAACAAACAAATCATGTTGTTATTCAGCCTTGGGACCAACAATGTTTACAGGTTTTTACAGTGTTGTCACTACCCCTAATGTACAGTATATACACCATGTGAACTCAAAAGAACCTACTCATCCGATGGCAGATGACCAGATGGTGGAAACATGAATATGTACATATGTAAGCAAAGATTATATGCTACCTAAATATTATCCCGGGGGAAGTTTTATTCTAGAGTATACTATCCTACGTTAGTGCCACACTGGTATGGGTTCAAATTCACAGGGGAGAATCATCCTGACACTAGAGTATTTCATCCCCGGGATAAAAAATAGGGGTAGGATAATATTCACTCTTATACATACACCAGAAACACAAGTGTGAAAATGTGTGGTGTCACCCTGGGCAAGTGACTTGGTTCAAATGTGCCTCTGTTCACCCAGCAGGGAATGGGTGCCCAATATGTGGGGTGGATGTAAAAACCTTCTGGCATCCCTAGGCAGCTTGGGTTGTATACTCCCCGGGGATTTGAGAATGATAACTGGAATGCGAACGGATCCACTGGTCGGGGAACAAATAAAAAACGCATTTGAGCAGATACTAGTACCTGGATATCTGCAGTATATAAATGAATGATAATGATAATGATAATGATGATGCTGGACTGAGGTGAGTCTCTTTATGCTGAGAAAGTATTTCAATTCTTACCGAGGCAGTCTCGGCCCCCATCCATGGGTTCGTATCCTGCAGGACAGATGCATGTGTAGTTGCCCGGGGTGTTGACACACTCACCCCTGCCACACTTCCTCTGCCCAGTCCGACACTCATCAACATCTGCAGCATAGCAGTATAGATATATAAGTAAACAAGCATTCCCCACACTTGAAAATCAGACCTACAGTGATATGCATGGTTTACTGCAGTACAAGTGGCAACAGCTGAAAGCTAAATTTGAATAGTGCCTGTACTGATTTCTGTGGTAACAGTACCAGGTGGGACAGTGGAGTAGGCTAGTGTTTAAAGCATTCACTCGTCACTTGGATTCCCCACATGGGTACAATATGTGAAGCCCATTTCTGGTGTCCCTCAACGTGATATTGCTTGAGTATTGCTACAACAATACAACAGTAGCATCTGTTATGATAACAGTAGCATGTTCTGTTGTAGCAGAAGCATATTCTGTAACAACTGTAGCGTGCTCTTCACTGGCTATTTCTTCATATATACGTCAATGACAAACACAATTTGAGGTACATCAGCATTCACAGCTTTTTGTGTGTGGATAATGCACCATGCATTGACAAGTACCTCTTGTTAACAATTTCAAAAATATTTTTTAAGAATGTCAGGCAAGAAATATTGTATTAATTGCTTTACAGATTTTTGTGTGAAAAATGTTGGTAGGTGGGATAAAAATTAAATAAATATGACTTTTAAAAGTTGTTTCTTTTAGTCTTCAAAATCTTATTTGATTATGTTGCTATGAGACTATTTTGTTTTTCATCAGTCTTGCAGCATACCGGTTAGTAACATATCTGGAATTTGAGTAACAAAGAGAAGACAATGGACAACTGATCGTACCCACACATCGGTGCCTGGTGCTGTCCAGTTCTAAGCCCTCCGGACACACACACACATAGCTGCCAAATGTGTTCTGACATCGGCCTCCCTTGCAGACATCGTCCACTTCAGCACACTCATCAATATCTGCATCATCAACAACCACAGTATACAAATAAACAGAAACAGCTGCTCACATGTTCTAAGAATCAGTGGTCAATTTTCAATGGACACTTCATATCATTATTAATATATGATTGGAAATCAATACAGAATAAAATAGCTTTTATATATTTATATTTTTAAATTCTGCACTCATGATTAATGTGTATCTCATTCTCAGTGATGCCAGTTTTTGATGATGGAACAACAGATAAGGACTGCCAATTTCACAGATGTCAACCATAGCCATGTCACGAGCCAAGTACATACCTTCTACCACCAGTGTGATGGTGTTAGGCCTGAACCCTGGCCCCCCGGGACACAGAGCGTTGTATTCACCTGCAACACACACAGGGTGCACTGTCAACGAACATGTCTGGAGGCATGCAGTACTTTCTGCTATGTACGTCTGGTGCACACTTGTGCATGCATTTAAACATTTGTCTTGTTTGTTTTGTGGGATATCCTTCCCATGTGCTTCCAGCTCTCGATCAATATACGGATGTCAAAATATGGAGATCAAACTCTGCTGGTGATAATAGTAATCGCTTTTAATTTTTTGTGAGAGGGAATTCTTCAGATTGAGAAAGCATGTATAAATTGAAGTGTTGTTTATTTGATTAAAATGATCTAATTGTTAATTGTTCAGTCAATAGCTGGTAGATGAAACATCAAGGAATTATACAAGTGAAATTTAAAAAATAAGTAGGAAATTCAAAACACCCATACCAGTACAATAAAATGTTTATGATATATGATATCCAGACAACTTACTTGTTCCATTCCTTGGGCAAATCTCACACAGCCCAGGGACATCCCCCCAGCCTTTCCCCACAGTACAGCAGCAGGTGGCTCGGGATATATCCACAGCGATCGAATCTGTGCACACCACCATACGGCCTCCACGGGAAAACTGGGGGACATCCATATAGCAGGAGCCCAGTCTCTTGTCTGAAGATACAAGGACATAGTGCAATACTTGTCTGAAGATACAAGGACATAGTGCAATACTTGTCTGAAGATACAAGGACATAGTGCAATACTTGTCTGAAGATACAAGGACATAGTGCAATACTTGTCTGGAGATACAAGGACATAGTGCAATACTTGTCTGAAGATACAAGGACATAGTGCAATACTTGTCTGGAGATACAAGGACATAGTGCAATACTTTGTCTGAAGATACAAGGACATAGTGCAATACTTGTCTGAAGATACAAGGACATAGTGCAATACTTGTCTGGAGATACAAGGACATAGTGCAATACTTGTCTGAAGATACAAGGACATAGTGCAATACTTGTCTGAAGATACAAGGACATAGTGCAATACTTGTCTGGAGATACAAGGACATAGTGCAATACTTGTCTGAAGATACAAGGACATAGTGCAATACTTGTCTGAAGATACAAGGACATAGTGCAATACTTGTCTGGAGATACAAGGACATAGTGCAATACTTGTCTGGAGATACAAGGACATAGTGCAATACTTGTCTGGAGATACAAGGACATGATGCAATACTTGTCTGGATATACAAGGACATAGTGCAATACTTGTCTGGAGATACAAGGACATAGTGCAATACTTGTCTGAAGATACAAGGACATAGTGCAATACTTGTCTGAAGATACAAGGACATAGTGCAATACTTGTCTGGAGATACAAGGACATAGTGCAATACTTGTCTGAAGAAACAAGGACATAGTGCAATACTTGTCTGGAGATACAAGGACATAGTGCAATACTTGTCTGGAGATACAAGGACATAGTGCAATACTTGTCTGGAGATACAAGGACATAGTGCAATACTTGTCTGAAGATACAAGGACATAGTGCAATACTTGTCTGGAGATACAAGGACATAGTGCAATACTTGTCTGGAGATACAAGGACATAGTGCAATACTTGTCTGGATATACAAGGACATAGTGCAATACTTGTCTGAAGAAACAAGGACATAGTGCAATACTTGTCTGGATATACAAGGACATAGTGCAATACTTGTCTGGAGATACAAGGACATAGTGCAATACTTGTCTGAAGAAACAAGGACATAGTGCAATACTTGTCTGGAGATACAAGGACATAGTGCAATACTTGTCTGGAGATACAAGGACATAGTGCAATACTTGTCTGGATATACAAGGACATAGTGCAATACTTGTCTGAAGAAACAAGGACATAGTGCAATACTTGTCTGGATATACAAGGACATAGTGCAATACTTGTCTGGAGATACAAGGACATAGTGCAATACTTGTCTGAAGATACAAGGACATAGTGCAATACTTGTCTGAAGATACAAGGACATAGTGCAATACTTGTCTGAAGATACAAGGACATAGTGCAATACTTGTCTGAAGATACAAGGACATAGTGCAATACTTGTCTGAAGATACAAGGACATAGTGCAATACTTGTCTGGAGATACAAGGACATAGTGCAATACTTGTCTGGAGATACAAGGACATAGTGCAATACTTGTCTGAAGATACAAGGACATAGTGCAATACTTGTCTGAAGATACAAGGACATAGTGCAATACTTGTCTGAAGATACAAGGACATAGTGCAATACTTGTCTGGAGATACAAGGACATAGTGCAATACTTGTCTGAAGATACAAGGACATAGTGCAATACTTGTCTGGAGATACAAGGACATAGTGCAATACTTGTCTGGAGATACAAGGACATAGTGCAATACTTGTCTGGATATACAAGGACATAGTGCAATACTTGTCTGAAGAAACAAGGACATAGTGCAATACTTGTCTGGATATACAAGGACATAGTGCAATACTTGTCTGGAGATACAAGGACATAGTGCAATACTTGTCTGAAGATACAAGGACATAGTGCAATACTTGTCTGAAGATACAAGGACATAGTGCAAAAGTCCAAACAAAATATGTTTCAAGTAATAATGTTTTCAAGCACACAATGTTATTCAGAATATTTTTTGATTTTTGCAGAATTTAATTCTGATTAATCAATAATCCCTGTGTACCCGGTAGATATTTTGTGAACAAGTCTGGAACTAGATAGAAACCCCAAGTACAGCAGAGATCCTCACCCACACATCCTGTGCCCGTGGGGTTGAGTTCGTAATCTGGGGGGCACTGACACAGGTACCCTCCCTGGGTGTTGACACAGGTGCCGTACTGACAGTTGTCTATGTTCTGACACTCATCAATGTCTGAAATGTGCAACACAAGTAGTGGTATCAGATCTTAATCGCATGAAAACACCGAAATGTATCAAAAGCTATCAAATTTAATGTTATCAAAGTAAACGAGAACTGATGCAGACATACCTGTACAGTTTCCTCCTGAGTTATCAAGCTGATAACCTTGGTTACAGACACATCGGAACATACCAAACACATTTTCACAGCGGCCATTGACACATAAGTTGTGGAACATGTCACATTCATTGATATCTGGAACACAGACGCCATGACTACTGCAGTATGGACATTTGCTTTTGCACAGAAAATATGAAGTTCTAATAATTTTCTGACACTAGTGATAAAGAAATTTCACTCTGACAAACAGTTTTGGAAAATTATTATTTCATGGGTGTGGGAAATACTTTTTCATCTCCGAGGGTGAGTTGTGAAGAAAGATGAATCACATCAAATCTTATCAGAACAGATTGAATCTGACTTACCGACACAGGCCCGTTCATCCTCAGTGGGGGCAAATCCCATGTCACATTCACACCGGAATCCTCCTGGATAGTTGTAGCACTGCCCGTTCTCACACAGAGTCACATCCAAGCTGCACTCATCAGCATCTAAAGGATGGAATATGCCGCTTATGATGGGTACACTTTAAACTCCCTGAACTTCCAAACTTCATTACGCCTTGGGCCCCCTTCAGACAAGTATTGGCCTCCTTTACATTAGTACACCCCAAACTCCCCTACTTTGTTACACCCCAAACTCCCCTACTTTAGTACATCCCAAACTCCCCTACTTTGTTACACCCCAAACTCCCCTACTTTGTTACACCCCAAACTCCCCTACTTTAGTACACCCCAAACTCCCCTACTTTAGTACACCCCAAACTCCCCTACTTTGTTGCACCCCAAACTCCCCTACTTTAGTACACCCCAAACTCCCCTACTTTAGTACACCCCAAACTCCTCTACTTTAGTACACCCTGAACTCCCCTACTTTAGTACACATTCACAACATTTAGTACACTTGATTGTCTCCCTTGACAAATAATGACGTTTACTGACCGATGCACTGGAAGCCATCACCAGAAAAGCCTTCGTCACAGACACAGCGGAAACTGCCCGGCATATTGATGCAGGCAGCATCACGGTCACATCCACCGTTGGCACGGATACACTCGTTAGCATCTGTTGTGAACACATATTATTGACATGAACTTGTTAAAAGGGACATTCTTATTATTGCTATTGCTACGGTTGAAAAGTTGATGATTAACAATATTTCGATAACTTGATGTATACCCCTACAACTTCACAGTTTCATTCTCAAATCTGTATTTACAAATCATTAATCAGCTATTTCAAGAGTTGGCTAGATGAAAGTCTCTGTTAAAGCCATGAATCAATCTGCATGATTCATATGTATTGTCAACTAAAGCGTACTTATCTTAATTATCTCATCAATTCCTGAGCAAGTTCTACATAATCTTAATGAAAGATACAATACAAAGTTATTTGAGTACAGAAAACCACAAGTTTGACTTCAATTCCTCTAAAATGTATGCTACTTTTCCATGCCCAGCTTTATACAGCCTAGCTGAGTGGAAGCATCCCTAGGGCAGGTATAGAAACCTTGAATGCCACATTTTCTTTCCTAGAGAAGGTATAATTGATGGTGTATGTATACCTCTACATGTATAATTGATGGTGTATGTATACCTCTACAAGTATAACTGCTGGTGTATGTATACCTCTACATGTATAACTGCTGGTGTATGTATACCTCTACATGTATAATTGATGGTGTATGTATGTATACCTCTACAAGTATAACTGCTGGTGTATGTATGTATACCTCTACATGTATAACTGCTGGTGTATGTATACCTCTACAAGTATAACTGCTGGTGTATGTATACCTCTACATGTATAACTGCTGGTGTATGTATACCTCTACAAGTATAACTGCTGGTGTATGTATACCTCTACAAGTATAACTGCTGGTGTATGTATACCTCTACAAGTATAACTGCTGGTGTATGTATACCTCTACAAGTATAACTGCTGGTGTATGTATGTATACCTCTACATGTATAATTGCTGGTGTATGTATGTATACCTCTACATGTATAACTGCTGGTGTATGTATGTATACCTCTACATGTATAACTGCTGGTGTATGTATACCTCTACATGTATAACTGCTGGTGTATGTATGTATACCTCTACATGTATAACTGCTGGTGTATGTATACCTCTACATGTATAACTGCTGGTGTATGTATAACTCTACATGTATAACTGCTGGTGTATGTATGTATACCTCTACATGTATAACTGCTGGTGTATGTATGTATACCTCTACATGTATAACTGCTGGTGTATGTATACCTCTACATGTATAACTGCTGGTGTATGTATACCTCTACAAGTATAACTGCTGGTGTATGTATACCTCTACATGTGAATCCGTCCCCCGTGAAGCCTGGCTTGCAGTCACACTTGAAGGAGCCTCTGGTGTTGATACAGACAGCATTGCTGTCACACACGTTACCCTCTAGACACTCGTCATCATCTGCACAACACCACCAAAATCACAACATAAATATTGGATCAGTGGCCAGAATATATCGAAGCACAATGGCAAAATGGAAGTTCAGTTTATCCTTTTCAGCCTGGGTTGCCAGTCTCCAAGACTACACCACAATATACGTTGTCACTCAGTGACAGTGGGACAGTACCTGTACAGCCCTGGTGGCCAGTGTATCAGACTATACCACAATATACGTTGTCACTCAGGACAGTGGGACAGTACCTGTACAGCCCTGGTGGCCAGTGTATCAGACTATACCACAATATACGTTGTCACTCAGGACAGTGGGACAGTACCTGTACAGCCTTGGTGGCCAGTGTATCAGACTATACCACAATATACGTTGTCACTCAGGACAGTAGGACAGTACCTGTACAGCCCTGGTGGCCAGTGTATCAGACTATACCACAATATACGTTGTCACTCAGGACAGTGGGACAGTACCTGTACAGCCTTGGTGGCCAGTGTATCAGACTATACCACAATATACGTTGTCACTCAGGACAGTGGGACAGTACCTGTACAGCCTTGGTGGCCAGTGTATCAGACTATACCACAATATACGTTGTCACTCAGGACAGTGGGACAGTACCTGTACAGCCTTGGTGGCCAGTGTATCAGACTATACCACAATATACGTTGTCACTCAGGACAGTGGGACAGTACCTGTACAGCCTTGGTGGCCAGTGTATCAGACTATACCACAATATACGTTGTCACTCAGGACAGTAGGACAGTACCTGTACAGCCTGGGTTGCCAGTCTCCCGCTTGACGGAGAAACCAGTGTCACACTTGCAGGAGAAGGAGCCTTGTGTGTTCTGACAGACTCCCGTCATACACAGGTTCTTGTTCAGCAGACACTCATCCACATCTAGAACACAAGAGCACATGCTGGAGAAACTCCATCACAGGAGAAATGTTATTGAAAGGAAAATGAAACCATTTAAACAGTTTATAACAATATATATGTCCTGGGTTAACCTACATGAAAGTTTAATAGAGAATTACAAGAAGTTTATTTTGACAGCCCCTTTAAGCCCTTTATGAAAATTGTGCAAAATTAGTAGCTCAGTTAAGACAAAGGTTCTTAATACACATCTAAACATATCCCTTTTGACAAAGACAGATATCCAGACATATTCACAGAGACAAAAACTTATCCAGATACAAAGACACATACCAAGACACAAAGACACATACCCAGATACAAAGACATATTCCAGACACATCCCAGACACAAAGACACATACCAAGACACAAAGACACATACCAAGACACAAAGACACATACCCAGACACAAAGACACATACCCAGACACAAAGACACATACCCAGACACAAAGACACATACCCAGACACAAAGACACATACCCAGACACTGCTTCTGATCCCTGGACGAGGAGAGTCCACCTGTGCAAGTACATCTGTAGGAGCCAGGCTGGTTGATACATCGACCTCCTCGACAGATGTCGGGTGTTTCTTTACACTCGTCAACATCTAGAACATTCCGAGTAAACAACACTGTCAGTAAAACGTTTCATTTAATTAATTTTGACTACACCTGATTGCGTTTGATGATGTTTTCCAAAGAGATAAAATATCAATTCTATTAACTGGAGAGCCAATCAATTTATTTACAAATTCCAATCTCGAAATCAAACAAAAGGAGCATACAACATCAAATTAAACTGGGTTAACAATGATCAACTTAGAAAGATTCTGATGAAGATGTAAAGTCACCTAGTTATAATCAATATATTGACTCAATGTTTCAGTTTGCAAGATGGAATTTTCTCAATGTTGATTTCATGTTTTTCAATAAGACTGAACAAAGAGGAATCTATTTTGTGAAGTTGCACTGGTTTTAATACATATAACGTTTATAAGATGAGATAACACCATCATTGATTGATAACTCCATGGCACAGTATTATTCCTAGTGTACCTATGCAGGTTTTGCCATCTATCATGAGGAGGTAGCCACTTTCACAGCCGCAAGAGAAGCTTCCGGGAGTGTTGACGCATCGACCCATGCATCCTCCATTACGCACACGGCATTCATCAATGTCTGAAAGAATACAAAAAGCATAATCATATCTCCATGTCAGAATGATAAGATCTGATTGGTTCACATGATCTTGATTAAATACTATGTATCCCACCTGGGACGAAAATAAATTTCTGAGCGGGAGAATAAATCCCACAATTCTGCTTCGTAGCAAAAAGTGTGCGGGTCAGTGAAAGTCATGTGACATTGCACAAGTTAACCTCAGCTCAATCATACAGCTATTTTCTATTAATTTTGAATTTGTTTTAAAGCTTTCACAATGACATATTGAAACATGTCGGCAAGATATATTTGTTGTAGCAGTATCATGATGAGTACATGTGGTTTTATGTGGCCCTCATTAGGTTTTATACAAATCGCCTACGGCTATTGGTGTAAAACAACAATGGGAGCATAAAACCACATGTACCCCTCATGATACTGCTTCAACTTCTATTGAGGTTAAGATTTTAGGGTCATATCACTGGCCACATCCTAACTTGCGAAAATAGTATTATATACTGCAACTCTAATGTCAACCAGTTTACTCTTCCACTCATTGATATCGCTGTGAAGAGCTGCAAAATTACTGATACACCATAAAATAATAATACTCACTCATTGATAAATATGTTTATGGCAAAAACTGAGTGGTCAACACTTATTATCTGGGTACCCGTGCCATTTCTGCCTGCCCCCAAAAGTTGTGATTTGTAACTGCATGACTCTCCTCAACTATATGTCATTTTTGCAGTGGACCCTCTCCAAATTTGTATTCATCATCTCACGGCACTCCACAAGGATATCAATTACCCTAATAGTTCCTTATAAAACAATGCTCAAAACATTATTAATAAATAATTATTCTCTCCAGTGCTTTTGTGATCATCATTGTGACAATCACAGATAATTGCAGCCAGACCTGTGGGACAGTTACTGACCAGCACATGTAGTCTTCTGGTCATTGGTCTTGTAGCCTTCAGAGCAGATGCACTGGTAGCCCCCCATGTAGTTTTCACAGTGGCCATTGGAGCAGATGGAGCTTGCTGACCCACACTCATCCACATCTGAAACAAGATGACACATATATGTGCTGTACAAAGAGAGTGGCTTGTAGGTGTAAGACAATGATGATGATATTTCTAATTAAAATTACCATGACCTTTACAAGTTGAGTCATCAGGTCCTATCTAGCATCAGTACTGACCTTTACAAGTTGAGCCATCAGGTCCAACTTCATGGCCATCTGGGCAATCACACTCGTAGCTTCCATCGACGTTGCGACAAGACCCTCCGAGACACAAGCCTGTATTCTCCTCACACTCATTGATGTCTGGACAGATCAAAGGTGAAGTCATAAGTATTCCAGTAATAAAAGTCAGCAATCATTATCTGACAGAAACATAATCTAATATTCATGATCTGCTTACTCAAGTGTGATTCTGGCTTGTGTATTGTCTTACAAAAACTAGAAATTTTGCACAATATGAGCACAGGTATACTTTCTCTTGACAAAAGGGAATATATGTGATAGAATTTCAAGTATGATTGAAGATGTTGAACTGTTACAGATATAGATCTATGAGACACTCAGTTAAAGAAGTAAGTTCTTCACTAAACCAGAAGACCTCCAATTACTGATAGAAGTACCTTCTGTGTTTGACAGAAACTCACCAACACACATCTGGTTCATCATGACACCCCTGAAGCCCTCAGCACACTCACAGCGGAATGTCCCCGGCATATTGATACATTCGCCTAAACCACAGATCTCTACCGATGATATCAGGCACTCATTGATATCTGGAAACAGGAACAACAATACAATGAAAATGCAATACAGATCTGAAATGATATTTGTCACAATGGAGCTAGTTTCTATAATGACATAGGGTCCACTGGCCGGAACTGACGTACTGAGGGACAGTTTCTCTAGTTGCTTTCAGCCTAATACAACTACTCTCCTTCTCACCAGTGCAGTTGAATCCTGTGTCATCCTTGGCAAACCCAGGGTTGCAGGTACAGATGAAACTTCCCATCACGTTGCGACACTTTCCATTTAAACACATACCAGGAAACATCCGGCACTCATTGATATCTGAAACACACCCACATGGCATCAACGGTGGTCAACACAAATTAAAGAATAAATAAATTACTTAAGTAGAATCTCCTGATAGACATTTCGTGACTTAACCGCATGCCTATTCCTGAATGTGACTGCAGACTGAACTCTGTTAAAGGTGATGCAATAGAGGATGAGTCACAGATCCCCATTACTTCCATGACAATTGCTATTATTGCTGCAAATGGAAGACATGAGTTACTTGGGTATATGGGGCATAACAGCTCTGATGTATGATTGTGATGTGCACTTGGTACAGGAACGTAGGACACATAGTGTTATTGTGAGGACATGTGGTGTAATGGGGTCCCATGATTGTTTACTTTATCCTGTCGTGTGCCACTGAAAATGGGGATCTATTTTCAGTACTGACAAAACAATTTTTGTTTTGGGAAAATCTTCTGATAAACAGAACCTAATGAGCAAGCTGTGGATTCTACCTCATGGATTCTACCTCTGCCACAGACTCCACCAATACATGTGTCCGAGCGTGTACCTTGACAAGACTCTTGTTAGTGCTGTAAGTTGTCTCCATATTACCTGGAATACTGATAGTGGTGTGTGCCATCAAGTGACCTACCTACCTGTTGGTTTGTCAGGGTCAGGATACATCCCTTCACCTCCATCACACAGCTCTTCATACTCATCTGGAAACAAAAATCAACTAGAACCTGCACTTCTAATATGGATTTCAAATGGAAGGATATTTGATTCTTATGAGAATGAAAAAACAATGTCACGCAAAAGCTGTTATGAATTGTAGTGTTGTGCACTGTTATGAATTGTAGTGTTGTGCACTGTTATGAATTGTAGTGTTGTGATTGCACAACCAATAAGAGCCAAGTTTTTGCACTTTTGTCATTTTGTGTGTAAAGTCCCAACTCTCTACCCACCAAAGACATCACACATACCACCTGCCACTCCCCTGTTCCCCACTCTCTACCCACCAAAGTCATCACACATACCACCTGTCACCAACATGTTCCCCACTCTCTACCCACCAAAGACATCACACATGCCACCTGCCGCTCCCCTGTTCCCCACTCTCTACCCACCAAAGTCATCACACATACCACCTGTCACCAACATGTTCCCCACTCTCTACCCACCAAAGACATCACACATACCACCTGTCACCAACATGTTCCCCACTCTCTACCCACCAAAGACATCACACATACCACCTGTCACCAACATTTTCCCCACTCTCTACCCACCAAAGTCATCACACATACCACCTGTCACCAACATGTTCCCCACTCTCTACCCACCAAAGTCATCACACATACCACCTGCCACTCCCCTGTCCCCCACTCTCTACCCACCAAAGCCATCACACATACCACCTGCCACTCCCCTGTTCCCCACTCTCTACCCACCAAAGTCATCACACATACCACCTGTCACCAACATGTTCCCCACTCTCTACCCACCAAAGTCATCACACATACCACCTGCCACTCCCCTGTCCCCCGCTCTCTACCCACCAAAGACATCACACATACCACCTGTCACCAACATGTTCCCCACTCTCTACCCACCAAAGTCATCACACATACCAACTGCCACTCCCCTGTTCCCAACTCTCTACCCACCAAAGCCATCACACATACCACCTGTCACCAACATGTTCCCCACTCTCTACCCACCAAAGACATCACTCATACCACCTGCCACTCCCCTGTTCACCACTCTCTACCCACCAAAGCCATCACATATACCACCTGTCACCAACATGTTCCCCACTCTCTACCCACCAAAGACATCACACATACCACCTGTCACCAACATGTGCCCCACTCTCTACCCACCAAAGACATCACACATACCACCTGTCACCAACATGTTCCCCACTCTCTACCCACCAAAGACATCACACATACCACCTGTCACCAACATGTTCCCCACTCTCTACCCACCAAAGACATCACACATACCACCTGTCACCAACATGTGCCCCACTCTCTACCCACCAAAGACATCACACATACCACCTGTCACCTACATGTTCCCCACTCTCTACCCACCAAAGTCATCACACATACCACCTGTCACCAACATGTTCCCCACTCTCTACCCACCAAAGCCATCACACATACCACCTGCCACTCCCCTGTTCCCCACTCTCTACCCACCAAAGACATCACATATACCACCTGTCACCAACATGTTCCTAACTCTCTACCCACCAAAGACATCACACATACCACCTGTCACCAACATGTTCCCCACTCTCTACCCACCAAAGCCATCACACATACCACCTGTCACCAACATGTTCCCCACTCTCTACCCACCAAAGACATCACACATACCACCTGTCACCAACATGTTCCCCACTCTCTACCCACCAAAGTCATCACACATACCACCTGTCACCAACATGTTCCCCACTCTCTACCCACCAAAGACATCACACATACCACCTGTCACCAACATGTTCCTAACTCTCTACCCACCAAAGCCATCACATATACCACCTGTCACCAACATGTTCCCCACTCTCTACCCACCAAAGCCATCACACATACCACCTGCCACTCCCCTGTTCCCCACTCTCTACCCACCAAAGACATCACATATACCACCTGTCAAAAACATGTTCCTAACTCTCTACCCACCAAAGACATCACACATACCACCTGTCACCAACATGTTCCCCACTCTCTACCCACCAAAGCCATCACACATACCACCTGCCACTCCCCTGTTCCCCACTCTCTACCCACCAAAGCCATCACATATACCACCTGTCACCAACATGTTCCCCACTCTCTACCCACCAAAGACATCACACATGCCACCTGCCACTCCCCTGTTCCCCACTCTCTACCCACCAAAGACATCACATATACCACCTGTCACCAACATGTTCCCCACTCTCTACCCACCAAAGACATCACACATACCACCTGCCACTCCCCTGTTCCCCACTCTCTACCCACCAAAGCCATCACATATACCACCTGTCACCAACATGTTCCCCACTCTCTACCCACCAAAGACATCACACATACCACCTGCCACTCCCCTGTTCCCCACTCTCTACCCACCAAAGCCATCACATATACCACCTGTCACCAACATGTTCCCCACTCTCTACCCACCAAAGCCATCACACATACCACCTGCCACTCCCCTGTTCCCCACTCTCTACCCACCAAAGCCATCACATATACCACCTGTCACCAACATGTTCCCCACTCTCTACCCACCAAAGCCATCACACATACCACCTGTCACCAACATGTTCCTAACTCTCTACCCACCAAAGACATCACATATACCACCTGTCACCAACATGTTCCCCACTCTCTACCCACCAAAGACATCACACATACCACCTGCCACTCCCCTGTTCCCCACTCTCTACCCACCAAAGCCATCACATATACCACCTGTCACCAACATGTTCCCCACTCTCTACCCACCAAAGACATCACACATACCACCTGCCACTCCCCTGTTCCCCACTCTCTACCCACCAAAGCCATCACATATACCACCTGTCACCAACATGTTCCCCACTCTCTACCCACCAAAGACATCACACATACCACCTGCCACTCCCCTGTTCCCCACTCTCTACCCACCAAAGCCATCACATATACCACCTGTCACCAACATGTTCCCCACTCTCTACCCACCAAAGCCATCACACATACCACCTGTCACCAACATGTTCCTAACTCTCTACCCACCAAAGACATCACATATACCACCTGCCACTCCCCTGTTCCCCATTCTCTACCCACCAAAGACATCACATATACCACCTGTCACCAACATGTTCCCCACTCTCTACCCACCAAAGACATCACATATACCACCTGTCACCAACATGTCCCCCACTCTCTACCCACCAAAGCCATCACTCATACCACCTGTCACCAACATGTTCCCCATTCTCTACCCACCAAAGCCATCACATATACAACCAGTCACCAACATGTTCCCCACTCTCTACCCACCAAAGCCATCACATATACCACCTGTCACCAACATGTTCCCCACTCTCTACTCACCAAAGCCATCACATATACCACCTGCCACTCCCCTGTTCCCCACTCTCTACCCACCAAAGCCATCACATATACCACCTGTCACCAACATGTTCCCCACTCTCTACTCACCCAAGCCATCACGTATACCACCTGTCACCAACATGTTCCCCACTCTCTACCCACCAAAGTCATCACACATACCACCTGTCACAAATGTGTTCCCCACTCTCTACCTACCAAAGTCATCACACATACCACCTGTCACCAACATGTTCCCCACTCTCTACCCACCAAAGACATCACACATACCACCTATCACCAACATGTTCCCCGCTCTCTACCCACCAAAGTCAACACACATACCACCTGTCACAAATGTGTTCCCAACTCTCTACCCACCAAAGCCATCACACATACCACCTATCACCAACATGTTCCCCACTCTCTACCCACCAAAGTCAACACACATACCACCTGTCACAAATGTGTTCCCCACTCTCTACCCACCAAAGCCATCACACATACCACCTATCACCAACATGTTCCCCACTCTCTACCCACCAAAGTCAACACACATACCACCTGTCACAAATGTGTTCCCCACTCTCTACCCACCAAAGCCATCACATATACCACCTGTCACCAACATGTTCCCCACTCTCTACCCACCAAAGCCATCACACATACCACCTGCCACTCCCCTGTTCCCCACTCTCTACCCACCAAACACATCACACATACCACCTGCCACAACCTGTTCCCAATGACTGCTTTGCAAAACTTTAGCAGTTGCTAAATTTTACTAGCCAAAAATGATGATCCAGTGACCAACATCACATAGTTGATAAAACTAAAGACCTCAATGAAAGCATTGTGAGGAGCTGGACGTGGTCCAGGGTGGGGTGAGGCTGTGCTGTCTGTACTACTCCGCCTGTAGCTCACCTGTTCCCTTGTTGGGGCATGATTCACAGCTCTCTCCCCAAGCCTTCCCCATGGTGCAGCAGCACATGTGTTTGTTGAACAGGCCCATCATTTCACGGGCACAGAAACCTCTGTTGTAATCCAAATAGCACTGAGCTTTCCTGTTGTCTGAAAGTTCACAATAACACTTAAATATCAAAAATGAAAGAAAGAATATTTTCTTACCTGAAACAGGCTTAAAGATATTTCATATAGTTGATAAGATTATAAATCATAAGCTATTAAACATTCTTCTCATCCAAATTAAATCATGATACATAGAGTGAATAAATATGTGCTTGCAGCAGTTGAACATTGCAAATATTGATAACATATATATTGTACCTGGTGCTGACAGCCTATACCTATCCCTCACCTACACATCTGCGTCCAGTAGTGTCCAGCTCAAGGCCAGCTGGACATGTACACTTGAAGGAACCCTGGGTATTGACACACTCGCCTCCACTCCTACAGATGTTGGGGAGGACCTCACACTCATTTACATCTGTGACAGACAGCATACACAAATCACTGGAACTACAATAAGGCAAAAACAATAAAGCTCTAAAATATCACTTTTACAGATGTTTACAACCATCAAGGACTATAATAATGTGACCGTATTACACAAACCACACTCTTCCACATTCCAACGAACACAAACATAGTGAAGCCTCACACACTCAGCCTCATCGTTTGACTCTTGACTGAGTCATGAGTGAACTTTAGAAGTGTTCATATCTGTACATCTGTCACAATAAAGAATTAAACAAAGCACAAAAGAATGGAATGCCACTCATAAATCACTGTTACAGTCAATGCACCAGCTGTTCACAAGTTAGCCAATATATCAGCTTAGATGATACAGTTAACTATGGTAATAATGAACTCGAGGGGACCACTAATTTTGGTTCACAAGATATGTAGTTCATTATAAGCATATATACAGCATATATACAACAAATGCTTGGGACTAAAAAATCAGTTCATTATATCGGTCAGTTCGTTATAAGCGTGTTCGTTATAAACGTAGTTTACTGTATGTTTCGCTGGTTCCCAGCACCAAAACACACAGTACATGTCTCTTACTATTAAGAAGATTAAATCCTCAAGAACAGATACTTGACTAATTGATTTAAGTTTATTTGAACATGCATGTCTTGTTTGAAATGTGTACATTCCTTGGTACTCATGATCAGCGTCTGAAATAACCGCCCGCCTCCCCGCTCATCTGCCCGCCTGCCTGCCCGCCCATCTGCCCGCCTGCCTGCCCGCCTGCCTGCCCGCCCGCCTGCCTCCCCGCCCATCTGCCCGCCTGCCTGCCCGCCCATCTGCCCGCCTGCCTCTCCGCTCATCTGCCCGCCTGCCTCCCCGCCCATCTGCCCGCCCGCCTCCCTGCCCATCTGCCCGCCTGTCTGCCCGCCTGCCTGCCTCCCCGCCCATCTGCCCGCCCGCCTCCCCGCCCATCTGCCAGCCCATCTGCCAGCCTGCCTCCCCGCCCATCTGCCAGCCCATCTGCCCGCCTGCCTCCCCGCCCATCTGCCTGCCTGTCTGCTCGCCTGCCTCCCCGCCCATCTCCCGCCCATCTGCCCACCTGCCTCCCCGCCCATCTGCCTGCCTGCCTCCCCGCCCATCTGCCCGCCTGCCTGCCCGCCTGCCTGCCCGCCCGCCTGCCTCCCCGCCCATCTGCCCGCCTGCCTGCCCGCCCATCTGCCCGCCTGCCTCTCCGCTCATCTGCCCGCCTGCCTCCCCGCCCATCTGCCCGCCCGCCTCCCTGCCCATCTGCCCGCCTGTCTGCCCGCCTGCCTGCCTCCCCGCCCATCTGCCCGCCCGCCTCCCCGCCCATCTGCCAGCCCATCTGCCAGCCTGCCTCCCCGCCCATCTGCCAGCCCATCTGCCCGCCTGCCTCCCCGCCCATCTGCCTGCCTGTCTGCTCGCCTGCCTCCCCGCCCATCTCCCGCCCATCTGCCCACCTGCCTCCCCGCCCATCTGCCAGCCCGCCTGCCCGCCTGCCCGCCTGCCCGCCTGCCCGCCCGCCTCCCAGCCCATCTGCCTGCGTGCCCGTGGCTGGTAACTTATCTGTTGGGCTGCATGAAATTTTCCTCCCCTTGCCCAACTGTCTGGCAGATTCTTTTAAGACTCCCTACACATTCAGTTTGTATTATGCCAACTGAATCAAGACATGATTTGTCAGTTATTTTTTGCGAATTTTCAATATTCATAATGTCTGAATGTAGGCAGGTAACTTTGAATATGAGCCGACAACATTTATGGGTCACCTGCCTGACTGTCTTTTTAGGTTTTAAAATCATTTCAAACACTACTCTTGATCCTCAAAACATCATATTGTTGAGTTAATTTGCCTTTTTTAATTTCCTGTCCAAACTTTGATATTATCACAATCACATTGACATGGAGATTTTACTGTTTATTTCTCTCCATATACTTAAATCAGTTGGTAACATTGTGTAACACAGATCTTCACATGCAAGCTTCACACTGTCAGTGATGCATCAGTTTCAGGTGAGGTGAGTGTGTGCATACGATGTATACTCACCGCCACAGTTTAATCCATTTGTAAAAGCGTACCCCTTTGGACATCGCAGTCCACCTGGAAATCACAAAGTTGCATGTTACAGGTCATACATGATGGCGTTACTAGGTTGGGTGTGATTCCTAACCACCATTGCTCCATGCTTGTCATAAGTGATAGTGTGAATGGGGCTGAAGGGGTCATTGTGGTCACGGGTATTACAGACATGTACCCCAGGTATGTTTCTGTATACAGAAATGTACCCTAGCCAAAATAAGAATTCATAACACTACCCTAGGATGACTTCATTCCACATTTGGCAGTGTGCTTAGCTGGTTCCTTGACTCTGAACATGAAAGATTTTCTTCAGTTTCTGGATTGGAACGGTCATACTGTTGTATGAGATGCATTCCGGCATGCTACATAAAAAAATGAGCCTATATGGTGATATATGTGCAGTACTTTTATAGCCTGTGATGCACAGCATTATCCAGCCTGCACCTATGATCAGGTGACCCGAAACTACAACATGAACCGGGGTAGGGTTTGGGGTTGAAGAATATGGACTTGTCCACCATTTGTTGTACCTGGTACTATTCTGTATTCTGATTTTTCCTAGGATACTTTTCTGTATGCTGGATTGTTCCTGGGTTACATATCTGTAGTACCCATGCTGACAACGACCCCTTCAACATTAATGATGATCCGGTGGACACAATGTCTTCTGGGTAGGGTGCAACATGTGAATGAGGGCAGCCTTGAAAGATACATTGTCAGCGTATCTATACTGACGGCAATGTTGATGTCATATTGATTACAATAAAAGATGAAGACACAGAGAACTTTACCCAGTTATCTCATACATATATCCCCTGAGTGAGTGAGTGAGTGAGTGAGTGAGTGAGTGAGTGAGTGAGTGAGTGAGTGAGTGAGTGAGTGAGTGAGTGAGTGAGTGAGTGAGTGAGTGAGTTTGGTTTAACGCCTCTTTTAACAGTATTCCAGTCATATGGCAGCGTGTCAGCTTAATGTGTGAAGAAAAAGCCTGAAGTGATGCAGGTCTCAGATGTGTATCACTTTGGTGAAACCCACGAGCACGGGTATGGTGCTGACAAACCTAGGTTCATAGGTTTCTGGCATGCCCATGCAAGGGACGCAACTCTGCACAGCAAATGCAGCGCCTTAGACAATTCGGCCTCACATGCACCCCTTTGCCTGATGAACAGAAAGAAAATGTTCCAATATCACAAAAATGTCCATGATGATGACATCCATTATATTTTGTAAAATCTTACTGTCAGGTGGGCACTGCTCGCAGGGACTTCCCCAGGCCTTCCCAATGGTACCACAGCATTCAGACTTTAGCATCATGGTATTGATGTTCCTCTCACACACCCCATTCCTGTACTTCAGCCAACACGCTCCACGTCGGTTGTCTGTACACAGGGAACAAACATCAACAGCAAGTAAGGAGTGACACAGGGAACAAACATCAACAGCAAGTAAGGAGTGACACAGGGAACAAACATCAACAGCAAGCAAGGAACGACACAGGGAACAAACATCAACAGCAAGTAAGGAGTGACACAGGGAACAAACATCAACAGCAAGTAAGGAGTGACACAGGGAACAAACATCAACAGCAAGTAAGGAACGACACAGGGAACAAACATCAACAGCAAGCAAGGAATGACACAGGGAACAAACATCAACAGCAAGTAAGGAGTGACACAGGGAACAAACATCAACAGCAAGTAAGGAGTGACACAGGGAACAAACATCAACAGCAAGCAAGGAACGACACAGGGAACAAACATCAACAGCAAGTAAGGAGTGACACAGGGAACAAACATCAACAGCAAGTAACGAACGACACAGGGAACAAACATCAACAGCAAGCAAGGAGTGACACAGGGAACAAACATCAACAGCAAGTAAGGAGTGACACAGGGAACAAACATCAACAGCAAGTAAGGAACGACACAGGGAACAAACATCAACAGCAAGCAAGGAATGACACAGGGAACAAACATCAACAGCAAGTAAGGAGTGACACAGGGAACAAACATCAACAGCAAGTAAGGAGTGACACAGGGAACAAACATCAACAGCAAGCAAGGAACGACACAGGGAACAAACATCAACAGCAAGTAAGGAGTGACACAGGGAACAAACATCAACAGCAAGTAAGGAACGACACAGGGAACAAACATCAACAGCAAGCAAGGAACGACACAGGGAACAAACATCAACAGCAAGAAAGGAACGACACAGGGAACAAACATCAACAGCATGTAAGGAGTGACACAGGGAACAAACATCAACAGCAAGCAAGGAGTGACACAGGACAGCCAGGTGCAGAGCTGCCCTATACAAAGGTACAAATGAATCCACATTAACACACAGTAGTTATACACTGCTCTATCTACAGTTGATTGCAATGATAACATTCAGCTTGAAGCACAGTCTACAAACTACATCTGAAATACCAGTTAGGTAACAATACACAACTATAGGTCTGTCAGACTTGTTCATTAAACGCTTTAACAAATATCTGCATCAAGTTTTCATTTCCAATAGATTGCATAGACATATAAATTAACACTCCATTGCAGTTAGCAGTTTGGAACTTTTAGCAATATTAAACTGAGCCAACGCATTTATCATTGATTTTATTTTAAATGATTCTTGGATGTCCAGAAACATATGGAGATTTGATTAGATTTGATACATGACACCAAGTTACAATTGACATAAACGCCATCAACCTATCTCATGTGTTTCAAAGGGACACTGTATCTTAGAATCTGATCCTCTTCTTTCTTTGCACTATACAAATCGATACCCATATCTATCTTGTACAGCTTGACTCACCAATACAGATTCTCTTGGTGGAGTCCAGCATAGTCCCTGGCCTTGTGCATTCACATCTGAAGCTCCCCGCCGTGTTGATACAATCACCTCCAACACAGGGTGAGGTTTCACACTCATTCATATCTGCAACATCAAGCATTGAAAGCAACATCAAACAATAAAGAGTTTTATACAGTAGCATCTAGATATCTTTGGAGGAGTCAACAGGGAACACCTACATACACAGATATTCTAAACACCCAAGCATGAAAAAAATTCATTTGATTTCTTTTTTCAAGACACGTCAGTAAAGGCACAAATTGTTTTAAGGTTCTATTTTTACATAACCACTAACAATATCAGGCTCAATAAAACATTGATTCCACTATGATCTAACCAGCCTTAGATACCTGTGTACTGACCAGTACCAGTAATTTATCTGCCAATTCAATCTGTGTCTGCAATTCCCTATTAAGCTTATGTGGTAAAATTCAATCATTTAGTTATCTGTAGGAATTTAAAAGCTGCTATTTTCCTAAAAAAAATGCAATTATTTCACTTGTTAGGAGGGACACAAAACATATTTTGTTTTCACTTATTTAGTCTAACTGCTTTAAACATCAAACAATATTTTTTTTGTTCAAATAAAATGTCCTTATATTTTGTCCAGTTTGATCAAGGTAGGCTATTAAGTATCAAACAAATTTTAACAATTCTCATTTAAACATGTGAATACTTATAATAATGTTGAACATCTAAGAAACACTATCTGACAATGCTCAATAAACAATGAAATGCTTCCTGACTGACCTTCACACATTCTTGTGGCATGGTTGAAGCGAAGTCCCTCGGGACAGATGCACCTGTAGCTTCCTGGCACATTTCTACACTGCCCCCCATCACACAGCATCAAGTTGATGTCACACTCATTAATGTCTACAACACAAACAACACACAGTTGACAGCCTGCAACGCTTTCACCTACATGTCTACAACATCAAGATTTTCACTGATTCAACCTGCATGAAATATTTTAATAGTTTATTCCAATGATTAATACTTCAAGGATATTTTCAACATCTTGGCCTATCAATGAGATTTGAAGGGACTGATTCCAGTGAGATGTTTTCAACAGCTTGACAAATACAGAAATATTTTCAATGATTAAGCTTGATAGGATAATTTCAACAGCTTTAGCAATACATAAATATTTACAATGATTCAATGTAACAGAATATATTCCACAGCTTGACCTATACAGAATTATTTACAATGATTCAATGTAACAGAATACATTCTACAGCTTCACCAATACAGAAATATTTACGATGATTCAATGTAACAAAATACATTCTACAGCTTCACCAATACAGAAATATTTACAATGATTCAATGTAACAGAATCCATTCGACGGCTTCACCAATACAGAAATATTTACGATGATTCAATGTAACAAAATACATTCTACAGCTTCACCAATACAGAAATATTTTCAATGATTCAATGTAACAGAATCCATTCGACGGCTTCACCAATACAGAAATATTTACATGATTCAATGTAACAGAATACATTCCACAGCTTCACCAATACAGAAATATTTACATGATTCAATGTAACAGAAAACATTTTACAGCTTCACCTATACAGAAATATTTACATGATTCGATGTAACAGAATACATTCCACAGCTTCACCAATACAGAAATATTTACATGATTCATTTTAACAGAAAACATTCTACAGCTTCACCAATACAGAAATATTTACATGATTCAACCTTACATGACATAGACACCTTGTCAAAAGTATCGCACCACTAAGATGTTTTGATAATCAGAATACAGATGGGTAAGGAGAAGCTAGTGAAAGTGAAGAAAGTGAAACAAAAGCAATCAAATGTCTTACTTAATGAAAAATAAGATGTTAATTTTATGAATTATAGGGAAAATGAACATTTGAAAAGAAAAAACTTTATTCGCCAGTGACTACAAGGACTGTAACTGGGGATAAACAGAGGCATTGTGAATGTCAGGAATGAAATGGACAGATCAACACGCACGTGTCTTTGTAACCATGTAGCCATGTCACAGTTAAATGATCAACAGTGTAAGTCAATATCTGGTGTAGCCACCCTGTACACAGATCACACCCACAAGACGTCTCAACTGAGAAATGAGTTGCCATTGCTGATGCAATGCCTAGGTCAATTCTTTGAGATTCTGAACTTGAGGGTCCTTGGCTCTGACCCTACATACCAACTGCTCACAACGATGATCGACTGGATTCAGGTCTGGGACTCGAGAAGGCCATGGCAGAGTATCATTAGTGTTGTTCTGGAGGTGATCAGTCAAAGCTCGTACTAGATGGGGTCCAGCATTGTTGTCCATGAATACAGGACGTGTGGCAAGTGCATGGTTATCAAAATGACACACAACAAAACCTTCCAATATGGTTTCTTGGTACCTTTGTCCATTTAATGTCCCCTGAACTGTGACAAAATCAAGTTTACATTCAAAGGAGCAACAACCCAGACCATCACTGAGCCGCCACCACATGCCACTGTTTCCTGGATGTTGCGCTGATGAAAAGATGTTTCTCTTTGTCTCCAGACACAAGTCCTATGATCAGTGTCGTACAATATAAACTGACACCAGCCTGACACCAGGCTTATTGGTCCCACATGTGTTGGGGTGAGAGGAGAGGAGTCTTATGGCCACTAATCCTGCTTCATTCACTCCAAGCCTGACAGTGCTAAGGGGAACTCTGTTGTGGGTACGCCAGTGATGATGAAGAACAGTGCAAGTTATGGCAGCCATATGGCTTGGCATACAAGGACCCTGTCCTCTCTGGCACTGGTCTTCCATGGATGTCCTGATCTCGCCAAGTCCCTCATGTGTCCAGTCAATGTGTATTTTCTAATGAGTTGACTGATTCCAGTATAATGATATATAACATGGCAGTTTGGTGCATGCCAATGATTTACCATCTTTGATTTTCTGTGATAGTATGCTAAGGTATTTCAGTTACAATCATTCCAAAGACATACTTTCAAATTGTTGGAACTTTTATTACAAAATTATAGCAGTAATGACGCATGAACTTCAAACAGGAATTTCTCTACAAGGTTGGGCAGTTGAGGGGACTATCATTCTACAGGCGCATGATGTGTCAATACACAGTGTACCATTTTAAAATCTCCACATTGAAAATGAACTCACAATTACACTGGGTGGTGTGATACTTTGGACAAGATGATTCAACCTCCCAGCTTGACCTACCTGAACATTCCCTGCCCGAGGAATCAGGTCTGTAACCATCATTACAGATGCACCTGTAGCCCCCATCCAGGTCCTCACATGCCCCGTTCTGGCACATGTCAGGGCGTAACTTACACTCGTTGATGTCTGGCAACCAAGAACGTAAAGCTATAATGTATTCTACAACAGATGGTTCAGCAGATTCCACATAACAACAGACTATGGATGTCATCATTATCTAATTCATCTGTACAAGATTCTGGTGTAGAAGTCATGACATTTTAAAATTTCAGAAAAAAAAGGAACAAAATACAGTAGATAACCTTAACCTTCTCTACTGCAGTAGATATAGAGGTACAGCAGAAGACTTGTTGATATTTATGCGAGAATATACAAACATTCACAACGACCACCGAACCATTTTGTGTCATTGTTCTGTGACTCACTCTTCCCATCGTGATCTCTGCCCTTCCCATGGGTACACAGTTTGATGAAACCAGGGTCCATCATTGTTGGACATCTCTCACAGTTTTGTCCCCAGGCCAGGGAGCCGGCAAGGCCACAACAACACATGGACTTGGTGACCAGCACAGAGTAGGGGTTAAGGCAGCGGCCATTCCGCACCTCGGGGTAACACATGTTCCTCCTTGTGTCTGAACAAATACCACGTACACAAGTCACACAATCAATATGTCACCCACATGAAATAAGGGACCTTATGCAGGTAAATTCACATTTTGACTTTTCATTATAGTTCAAAACTACAGTAAGTTAGCAAATACATTTCACAAGCAACAATCATAGGTATTGCAGAAATACGTGGCATCAAAAACATTTGGACTAATTTTCTGCAAAATCCCATTTTCAGTCTTGAAATAGCTGTTGTTTTAATAATTTAGACATACTGACTGATTAATCGAAAGTGGATATCTATGCTGAAATGTTTAGAAATAATGTATTTTTTACTTTGCGAGCCAACAAGAGAAAAATAAGACATTTTTGTCAGTTCTTACATGGTTAGTTTTACGGAAGTAAGTTGACATCAAACATCTGTCTTTATGATGTCACAGCACAACTGTATCTCCTAACATCCACAATGTCCCTTATCTCCTGGTGGATCCCATATGTAGCTATGTACACGAGTTGGTTAGACAATGTCTCAAGGGTTTTGTGCTGCCTATTAAAATTAAATACTAAACTTCTGTCTTTTTATCGAATAGGCCTCTTCTTATGTTTACTTGGCTTACAGATTATTTTCTTCAAAGAAGGGTAAGTGGTGGAAATGAAACTTACAAAAACTTGAATTTTCTAGAGTTATTCAATAGAGCTATAGCTATAGTGACAAATCATATGGTCATAACCCATTGTTATTGGCCAACTTTACAATTTTATTTATTTACTCGGTAGGTCGGTTGTTCAGGCCCCTCCCACGTCATACGGAGAGACATAAATAGGAGGAGTTAAAACAGGGACTGGGTGGATGGGAGTCAGTATAATGTGTCTAAGTGGGCTGTCCGTGTGAAACTGCAGCATGGTATTTGTGTGTCACCACTGTAGAATCAGCATAAATGTGGACTACTACAGGTATAAATGAAGCAAATTATTATCAGATAATCTTGAATCTGACATGAATGTCACCTCACTTGTAAAACAAGACCTTTTTGAAAAGATTAAAATAAACTTGATTAACATTTCAGTCAAACACATCAATTAAAGTTTTTAACTTTTGCAAAAGTTGTTGAGTAGTTGTCATACAACATGTGATTTGGTCAGTCGAGATAGAGCAGCTTATCACTTCAACTTGGAACACTGGCATACAAAACCTGGGGTGTTGAGAAAGCAATAGAAGTAGATATAGATACCTCTGCATGTCCTCCTGTCCTCACCCAGGGTGAATCCCTGGGGGCACTCGCAGCGGAAGCTGCCCTGGTTGTTGATACACTGACCATTCACACACTGGTCTGGACCAAGTGAGCACTCGTTCACATCTGGGGACCAAGTAAAATACACAGGTCAAAGCATTATACTGGAGTGGCAATTTTTTCTACTTTTGAAATGTAGGAAACAAATACTGGTACATCTCCATATATCCCATATTTACTTATACAGCACGTCCCTAGTCTATCGTATAGTCCCTGAAATATAGCTATGTATGAGGTTAAATGAAAATAATTCTATAAAGAAACCCTCAATCAACAAACGGAACCTCAAGTCTCTAAGACTTGATGAGAGTGGCACTGGGGTGAATGTTTTGTTAGATACATGCTCTGGGGTCTGTAAGAGACTAAGCCATGACTGTTACACACTTGGGTCAAGGATGTTGCCTGCATTAGACACACTTACCAATACACACCTATACAGACCTCCCTACTGGGACCTAAGATATAGCCTGGGTAGTGCACACTCACCTATACAGACCTCCCTACTGGGACCTAAGATATAGCCTGGGTTGTACGCACTCACCTATACAGACCTCCCTACTGGGACCTAAGATATAGCCTGGGTAGTACACACTCACCTATACAGACCTCCCTACTGGGACCTAAGATATAGCCTGGGTTGCACACACTCACCTATACAGACCTCCCTGCTGGGACCTAAGATATAGCCTGGCTTGTACACACTCACCTATACAGACCTCCCTGCTGGGACCTAAGATATAGCCTGGGTTGTACGCACTCACCTATACAGACCTCCCTGCTGGGACCTAAGATATAGCCTGGGTTGTACGCACTCACCTATACAGACCTCCCTACTGGGACCTAAGATATAGCCTGGGTAGTACACACTCACCTATATAGACCTCCCTGCTGGGACCTAAGATATAGCCTGGGTAGTACACACTCACCTATACAGACCTCCCTGCTGGGACCTAAGATATAGCCTGGGTAGTACACACTCACCTATATAGACCTCCCTGTTGGGACCTAAGATATAGCCTGGGTAGTACACACTCACCTATACAGACCTCCCTACTGGGACCTAAGATATAGCCTGGGTAGTACACACTCACCTATACAGACCTCCCTACTGGGACCTAACATAAAGCCTGGGTAGTACACACTCACCTATACAGATCTCCCAACTGGGACCTAAGATATAGCCTGGGTAGTACACACTCACCTATACAGACCTCCCTACTGGGACCTAAGATATAGCCTGGGAAGTACACACTCACCTATACAGATCTCCCTACTGGGACCTAAGATATAGCCTGGGTTGCAGACACACTTGAAACTGCCATCCATGTTTATACAGTTGCCATTGGTGCACATTCCTGTTGTCTTACATTCATCATAATCTGCAAAGAAAAGAACACAATCAAAGGGATGACACAAGTTATGATTCCCTAAGTATAATCATAGAAAGTACATACATGGACAAGTTCTCAAGCAGGCCTGTGTGCATATCCTCATGTGTATACATGGATTGAAACACTATCCTGAGTGGCTCTGAAGTGTCTTTCAGAATGAGGAGAAGAGCGATGATGTGCATGGAGAATTATTGATCAACTAAATTGGTCAAACTAATATGAGATCCTTGTGAATCTACTGAAGTGAGTGAGTAAAGATATACTTTAGCAATTTCCAGCCATGTTATAACAAGGGACAGAAACAGCTTCCCATATTTATCGTGAACTCAAATGGTCTTTATATTCAACTCCGATGTCAGCAAAATTGATATCTCTGACCGTCTAAACTTACCTAGACAGAAAGCACCATCTGGTGACAACCGATATCCAGGGGTACATTCACAACGATAGCTTCCATCAGTATTCACACAGCGACCATTCTTGCATAGTCGACCATTCTCTGTACATTCGTTGATGTCTGTAAAACAAAGAATTTTCTTCAAATACAGTTAACAGTTGCAGAGTCTTTAAAATTAGAGGAAAATCAATACTCTTATCCTTCTACCCTGATTATAAATAATTTGACAAATTTGACAAACGACAACTTTTTTCTACTTAAGATTCTATTTTAAGACAATAAGTTTAATTCTCAACTGGTGTAGATATATATTTCTGTGAAGTGTAGTAGTACAATGTCAGCATACCACCTAACCTATATGTATACGGTATCCTAGTGCACATCCCAGTTGGGCAACTGTGGTCCGTTCCACAAAGCTATCGTAACTCCCAGACTTCACTGTTGTTGCACTGCGATCACTTTGTGGAACAGAGCTATGATCTCAGCATATGACTAGGCCTATTATTGCATAAATAACGGTAATAATGATGCTTTAACTTTGTTAAAAAACCTCTTAAAGTTCATGTGCTAAAGACATGTACCATAGCAGACTTCCTGGTTTGGTGACTGTTTAAATCCTGCATTACATCGGCACTTGTACGACCCATCCATGTTGAAGCACACCCCATTGGGGCACATGCCTTCCTCAGCACATTCATTCATGTCTGAAACACACAAGTCAGGAATTATATGAAGGATATAAATGTTTACTGACCAAAGCGTGTTTGGCAAGGTTTTGGTGTAATCAGAATACAAAGAATGTATTATTCCAAAGATATGATAATTATGATACAAAAACATAATAAACTCAAATTTATCAAATATATAAGTTAACAGAGGAGGAAGGATGAGTACCCCTTTTTGTAAATGATAATTTCATAACTTAAAATAATGTGTTGGTATGAACATTATCAAATAAGTTCAAATGGCAGACAACTATCTGTTTTCTTTCTTACACTTGCCAGTTTGGGACTTTGGCATGATCAAGTACATATGAATGGCTAAAATAAGCAAATAATGCCAGTTATTCCAGCTTGAAAATCTAACTATGAGAAAGTCTGTGGCCCAAGCTGATATTATTACCATTTGTGAGTACATCTTCAAAATAAATTAGCTTGTGTCAAGTACTTGCTCATGTTCAAGTTTTGCAAAAAGCTTCCTGACAAACTCTCCAATCAGCCCATTAACCTTACACATGCATCTTATGTTGTTGTAAGTTTCAAACACCCAAGTATTGAAATGAGAAAAATCTACCAGGTATTTCTCATTCATTTGAACACATCTGGTAATTGTTTTAGTTGTGCTCATTTCTTACAAGGGCCCTGACGGTACCACTGCCTTTACCTTAACATGATCAATGAGTTTGAATTCTACAAGCTTAAAAAGCCAAAGCTCTAGATTCCAGAAAATGTCATTCTGGGAATGAAAAATGAATATAATCCCCCAAAATTTCACACTATCATTGGAGGCATGTCAGTCCTTCTGATCACCAGTGCTGGATACAAGTGGAAAGGGACTTGTTACCCCTTGGTATCTTGTCAGCTGTATAATGGAGTGAGCAAGTCCATTCTGTTTCTTAACACAGTCAGCAATATTAAAGCCTGAACAAGGACCCATCCGGGTTACAATGTCACACAAGCAACCAAGTCACACCTTCTGAACATTCCAATCATCATTGGCAATCTGCTCTTATGTGAGATGACGTGAAATGGGGTTTAACGTCATGTTCTAGAATACTGCACTTATACAGTGATCATGCACATGTGTGTATGTGCCTGCTTGTATTCTACCGGACTGGTTTTGTACTGCTAGCCCACTGAAGCACCATGCAGCAGTTTATCCTGGATATCCTACTCAGACACAGTACTCCAGGTTGACCAGTCCTTGTTTTACGTCCTTGATGCCAAGCGCCAGGCAGGGTAACATCAAGTGCCATCTTTTAACATCTTTTCTGCTGTCTGGTACTCCTATGACTATCACAGGGTAGTGGGTTTGTGCCCATGTGTTTGCATGGGGTGTAATAGAGCTTTAGAGTAGAATGCGAGCATAATTTGCTTACCTGTGCAGTATGAGCCTGTCTTTGAGAGAACAAACCCTGGACTACATTCACAGGTGTAGCTTCCCTGTGTGTTGACACAGCGGCCATTGCGACAGATTCCCTGCTGCTCACATTCATCAATATCTGTAGAAGTGGAGAGACATTAATCAATATCGGTAGAAATGGAGAGACATACATCAATATCTGTAGAAATGGAGAGACATTCATCAATATCGGTAGAAATGGAGAGACATTCATCAATATCTGTAGAAATGGAGAGACATTCATCAATATCTGTAGAAATGGAGAGACATTCATCAATATCTGTAGAAATGGAGAGACATACATCAATATCTGTAGAAATGGAGAGACATTCATCAATATCGGTAGAAATGGAGAGACATTCATCAATATCTGTAGAAATGGAGAGACATTCATCAATATCTGTAGAAATGGGGAGACATTCATCAATATCTGTAGAAGTGGGGAGACATTCATCAATATCTGTAGAAGTGGAGAGACATTCATCAATATCTGTAGAAGTGGGGAGACATTCATCAATATCTGTAGAAGTGGGGAGACATTCATCAACATCTGTAGAAGTGGGGAGACATTCATCAATATCTGTAGAAGTGGGGAGACATTCATCAATATCTGTAGAAGTGGGGAGACATTCATCAATATCGGTAGAAATGGAGAGACATACATCAATATCGGTAGAAATGGAGAGACATACATCAATATCTGTAGAAATGGAGAGACATACATCAATATCTGTAGAAATGGAGAGACATTCATCAATATCGGTAGAAATGGAGAGACATTCATCAATATCTGTAGAAATGGAGAGACATTCATCAATATCGGTAGAAATGTACACAAAACTGATTTATTTGTGTATAATACGCACTCGTGTGTTATATGCACCCTTAAATATAGGAATTAAATCCTGGAAAAAATATATCTGTCATCTATAAACATTTCAGGCTGTCAGTATAAACCACGAAATTTACGATCATTCACCAAAACAATATTCTAACAAAAGCCCCCTATTTCTAATTTTGAAAGCGCCCTGGGCGCTTATTACGTCAAATACGGTATTTAGAGATAGGGGGAGACAGTGGACATTTCTGCATACGTTGACTACATACCTGAGTATATATGCTTGTCAAACATATTCTGTACATCACTTGCTTGATGACCACGTAACAACCTATACTGAAACATTGCTCTTATATTGTAATTAAGAAGTTTGTTCATCTACATTTCTTATCCCTACTTGGAACTTCAACTTAGCCTCTCCAAGAAATTTTATCACAGATGTTGAATGATTACTTTTATTACTATCATTAGCAGCCTAAAATGTTTAGAAGTCATTATCTTTAGTTTTGTTGTTAGAGACTTATTGAGACGAAAGATAATACTAATGCGTCATTAAATCCATAACAAGTATTGAATGGAGATAAGTCATCCGACTCCCCCAGACATCAAATCATAAAAATACTAATTCCTTGGAATGTAAGATTATCTTCATGTTAAATAATATTGAATCAGACAATTTTGATCCATTTAGCATTGATAAACTTTAAATGATCTTGTTTGTGCCAGAATTCTTGAATTTCAAATGATACAAATCTCCATAAATAGGCTTGAAAAATTGCAGACAATAAGATATTTGTTCCACAATTGGAAACAAACATTTTAGAAGTCACATGAAGAGACCTGTTGAGATTTTGATTACTTCTGACTTCTGAAGTCTGATATGCCTAGAATTATACAAGAAAGGTATTTGAGACAAGTGTAGGACAGTGTCAGGTCAGCCATAACATGTATCCCTCTCTTGTAATGGTCATCTTGACATAGAGCTATTGCTATAGATATACTTTGAAAAAGAAACTTAATTGTCTTAGGAATGGGTGTGGAAACTAAAGTTTCCCCAGTAAAACTGATGTTGATACAGAGGACAAACTACAACACTCCTCTAAGAATAATATCTGTGTGTTGTGTCACCCACAGACTTGAGTCCATTGCAAAGTGTGTACCCCCATACATGGAATGTATACACTTCTTCCTTATTTCATCTTATCAACAATTATAAAAAAAACTAGGATAAACTGAAACATGTGGGAAGTGTATTTTCTATGTGTTTCCTGTGTTACAGCAGTGAGGTCAATGGCGATGAACCAATTAATATTCATCCTTAAAAACAGTATGCATATACTTAATAAAACATGTATGTATGCACACTACTTACTGTAGAGCACAAAGATATTCCACATGAAATGTCTCATATATATAAATTATGTACATTAAACACATTGAAGATTAAAACATAAGTATTTTGGTAATATATATTGAGGAACAAGCTGGAAGTTAGCATTCAGAAAGATGCAGAGATGAAGGAAAGGGTTAGGTACAGTTGGAAAACTGAATGCCAGATCTAAATGAAAGCTTGTTAGTCTGGAGACCCCGTCCTCCAGAAGACTACTGTTGGGAACATCTGTTTGTAGTGACATCACCATGCATCCAGAATTCCTTAATCTTGGCATTTGCACAGGTAAAAGCACATTCTGATTACCACTGTATAGAATACCACCAGATTACCACTGTATTCAATACCACTAGATTACAACTGTAGATAATACCACTAGATTACCACTTTATGGAATACCACCAGATTACCACTGTATAGAATTCATCCAGAATACCACTGTATGGAATACCACCAGATTACCACTGTGTAGAATACATCCACAATACCACTGTATGGAATACCACCAGATTACCACTGTATAGAATACATCCAGAATACCACTGTATGGAATACCACCAGATTACCACTGTATGGAATACCACTAGATTACCACTGTATGGAATACATCCAGAATACCACTGTATGGAATACCACCAGATTACCACTGTGTAGAATACATCCACAATACCACTGTATGGAATACCACCAGATCACCACTGAATAGAATACATCCAGAATACCACTGTATGGAATACCACCAGATTACCACTGTATAGAATACATCCAGAATACCACTGTATGGAATACCACCAGATTACCACTGTATGGAATACCACCAGATTACCACTGTATAGAATACATTCAGAATACCACTGTATGGAATACCACCAGATTACCACTGTGTAGAATACATCCAGAATACCACTGTATGGAATACCACCAGATTACCACTGTATAGAATACATCCAGAATACCACTGTATGGAATACCACCAGATTACCACTGTATGGAATACCACTAGGTTACGACTGTACAGAATACACCAAGAAGAATACCACTGTATAGAATACCACCAGATTACCACTGTATAGAATACAACCAGATTACCACTGTATGGAATACCACCAGATTACCACTGTATGGAATACCACCAGATTACCACTGTATAGAATACAACCAGATTACCACTGTATGGAATACAACCAGAATACCACTGTATAGAATACAACCAGATTACCACTGTAAAGAATACCAATGTATATGTAATAGCGAGAGAGAATTTGTCCTTGTCTAAAGAGTAATTTGAGCCACATTACAGCTATGTCGGGAAGGGTTCTACATGTAAAACAGCAAGTCTGTACAACAAAAGCTGCTCTGGGGAAACAGGTGGTTGTGTGGTATACTGCACAATGACGCTGTCTAGACAGGCCCTGAATTACAGGTGTTATGCAAGGACAGGCACATGGGAGCACTGACTGCCAGCTACACTTGATAAATGATGATCTGTCTCTCCACAGAAAGCTCAGTCCATAATTAAAACCTCCACAATGGCAGCAACAAAAAAATGGCAAACTTTAAAAAGCTGTTTGAAGACTGGATTTCACCTGCTCACTGAGACTAGGATTACTTCCCACTGGGAGCATGCCCTTTGCTAAGGATCAGTGTATATGGTTACCATTAAATGAATAGAACTGTTCCTGTCAACAAGGTGAACTGTTCCTGTAAACAAGGTGTCTCTCATTTCATTGGAATAATGACTTGCATGGAATGCACAGAGTATCCGAAAATATAAAACGTAAATAATTTGAACAATGATTTTAAATTGATGCATACAAAAGACAAGCATTCACCTAAAAGTTGAGTGAGTGAGTGAGTGAGTGAGTGAGTGAGTGAGCAATTCAACAGGATTGATGGACTCAGCAACAGACCAAAATCCGTAGTGTGGTGAACAGAATTCCAAGCTTGTATTTCTGTGCATGAAAATGACCGACTTTTTTCTCACATTAAGGAGCACGTGACATTTTACATGTAGTAAAGGTGACATTCCAGTGCAGGCTGGATGAAACCTTTGACATATTTTGAAGACAAACACAACCTTACACGGAAACCTTTGGCTTAAATGGTTTCTGAATAGGTAAATAATTTACATCCTCAACAATTGAACTTTGCTATAAACAGTGTTTCCTTTTTGAAAACTTAGTACATGCACATCATTTGAAGTACACTAAGCATTATATGTTCCCTCTAAGGAGAACCTATTCAACTGGGTGGAGCAGTTTGGCAATGAAAGTATATTTGGATTAACATTGGATAAAATAAACAACGAAATAAATTTTACAGAAAGAATATTCAAACAATCTCGCCAGAGAGGTGAAGTTTTGTGATGCGTGTAATTTCCTACCCGCCCATCTTACTGCTTTCACGTTTCACGAGAGGCAATGACAGATCATCAAATTTGTTACATTTTGAGGATAATCAACAAGAATTTGTTATTACTTGAAACTCTACTAATGCTAGGCCTACTACATCAGCTCACAGAAGACAGTTTTTCTGTTAGCCCTCACTATATATATCATAGCTGTCAGACATCATTGTTGTAGTTGAGACAAAAAATAATTAAGATATAAAAAAAGGTATTGTTTGGATAGTAATTGTGCTCAAAGGGGACTGTGTTAGACTAATCATAAACATCTGGATCCCTTTTCCTGTATAGGTCTAGATTTTGTAACTAGCGCCATGTGTGAAATATAGACATGAACCTCTGTGTAATTAATTTATGGATAAACTGCTTGACTGACATACATAATAAAATTGGGTTAGCAGACAAAGAATGTGGTATATATAAATTGTCAATGCATGAGAATAACCAGTCTTGATTATCTGCCATTCACACAATTTGCATGCCTTGAAACGACAGCCTGAAAACAAAACAGATAATCAAGTGATCGATGAACCAGAAAATCCAGTGACACGACAGTGCATTTACTGATTTTGTTGAGCCTAATTTAAACAATATGTTAATTTTGAATTATGTCTGCTTCATGCACATGTGGAGATTCTGCTGCTTAAAAGTAAAGAAAAATATTAAAGAAATTAAGACGTTTGTTTTGCAACACAGTTGGGGGCAGTTTTAATGTCTCGGCTGAAACATATCTTTTGTAGTTGACTCAGCATAATTGAGACATGCTACTGAGCTTATGATGAAACTCGGGGACTTCAGTCCACTAGCAGAAACATCGGCCCAAACATTTCTTTTGTAGTTGACTCAGCATAGATAAGTGCCTCTGAGTTTATGATGAAACTTGGGGGGTGTCAGTCCACCAGCAAAAACATTCCTTCCAGTTCAGGTAAATATTAATTGTCCATGCAAGAGAATAACCAGTCTAGATTATCCGCCGAAACAGATTCCATCTGCGTAAAGGGCAAAATAGCTATGAAAGTTATTTGAATGGACCACTGAAAATCAGTGATGACACCAGGTGTGTAAGAACGACTTGAATCAAGTTTGCTAGGCTTTCCTGTAAACAGTCCCCCCTGAACCTACCAAGGCAGTTATCATTGGACTCCCTGTATCCCGGGTTGCATTCACAGCGGAAGGAACTTGGGGTATCCACACAGCGGCCATTATTACACAGCATGGTGAACTTGGCACAGAATTGGTCAGTGATCGGTAGACCTTTTCGGCACAGTCGGTCGTAGGAATCTGAAGAGGAAGAATACTGGTTACAATAATATAATTATTTAATTTGAAGTTTACACGATATACGGCTTTTCCATTGGACGAGAGGTCAGTCACATGACCACGAAATTGACAGTCATAAGTGTATGAACGACACAATTTGAAGTTCATACGTTTTTCACGAGACCGTGTTCTTGAAATGACGTAAACCCTGAGGGACTACTTCCACATTCCTGGGGAAACCCCTGGGAATTCCCTACCATGAAAACATACATAAGCGTTCTATCTGATCATTTAGAACCTTTATTCTTAGTCTCAGCATTTCAGTATACGTTGAGAAATGTCAGAGAGCGTGACTGCATTATTGTTCACGAATATCCTCGCTGCGGCCTATCCTGATGAGCAAACGAAGAAATGCACATCTAAACTATCGTAGTATCGACTCGATCCGTGTCTAGGCTGACACTGATCGTCTCCAGCAATCTTAAGTATGAATTTACCTTAGTGTGTGTTTGACGCATCTTATTCACCTTTCAATGATCGGCCAGTTGATCAATGATGACTAACACATGTAACCACCACAGGTTCATTAACAACTTCGGAAATATCTCCCATCACGTTTATCGTGTCGGACATTTTGACGTCTTGTACTTGATGTAAATGTATTATGACACACTGTCATTGTGACTGACATACTGAAGTAGTTCTTTACAGACCTTTCTCATCTAATGAGGATATGATTTGAATACATGTGCTGCGTAAGATGTTTCTGAAGAGCAAATTGTGCATCCATACGCCCATGTCACCTCTCTTTTTGAGGAACTATTTTACTCCGAGATATAGCTGGTTGTTGTTTGGCTGTCAGTGTAAACATGAAGTCACACGTACTAAATAAAACTGTGTTTAGATCTTGGCCTACATCCTTTGAGGTAAGAAAATGTGATAAAAAAATTATAAAAATTGACTTTCACTTTGTGTGAGTTCATTGGAGTATGAACCTTCATAGAGTGAGGGCCAGTCATTGTATGAATGTCGTCGCAAGCTCCAACGTTCATACAGTTTGGCCCTCACTCTATGAAGGTTCATACTCCAATGAACTCACACAAAGTGAAGGTCAATTCTTAAATGTAAAATCAATATGCCACAGCACATGATCAAATGGATGTAACATAAATGTCAGTTTGCAAATATGCACATCAGCAAGATTCAACAAATGTAAAATTAATCCTCTTTGAGAAATGTTAATACAAAATCAAACAGAAACATGCATATTTATACATGTACAGGTATACGTATCTTCAATCAAACATGTCTGGGCTTTTTGACTAAAGACTTACTTGTCATTATTATTTTCACAAAAAACCCTGATGGAAAATGATTTTCCCATGCCAGTAAGTGAGTGAGTTGGGTTTAACGCTGCTTTTAACAGTATTCCAGTTACATTGTGGCATGTCAGCTTAATGTGGGAGGGAAGCCCGAAGTAATGCATGTCTTAGACGTTTACCACTTCGGTGAAACCCATGAGCACGGGTATGGTGCTGACAAACCTAGAAACATAATTGGGCGAACTGGGATTCGAACCCACAATCATAAGTTTCTGGCGTGCCCAAGGGACGCAACTCTGCACAGCGAATCGAGGTGCCTTAGACGACTGGGCCACCCATGTCCCCTTTCCCATCCAAGCAGGAATGCTTCTTACATTGGCTAATATCTGCACACCAGAAAGACATTAGATATGACTAACTCACAAGCTGTAAACATTCATGTATTATGCTTCTTTATGTTTTTGAAATAATAGCTCAATGCTAAGGAAGTCAACACCTGGCTGATTGCTGATTTGTCCCACAGCTGATAATTCTTTCTTTTAGGTCTGAAGGGTCAACAATTATGTTTCTTTATCAACTTGTTCCTTTTCATCCCCTTCTGGTCCGGAAGCTGAATTTCCGGATGAAGAAAGCAGTTGGTTGTGTAAATAACTCCTAATTGTGTTGGAGATGAGGGTTCAGTCTAACAAGCTAAAGGAACTAATCAGCTCATGTCTTCTATAAAGCCTCTCCAATAGGCTCTTTCTTCTTTGATCATTTCAAGAATTTACAAAAAGTGAGTTTTGAACACCACCGTGTGAACAAGTAGAATGCCACTGTGATCAGAGGAAAGATGGCCCAGTCAAAATATACTGGTAGATGAATTTTCAGGGAAATTCTTCTGGGAAGAATGGTTTAAAATCACAATTTTGTTAACAAAACTAAAATAGCATTTACAGGTACTTGCAGAAACAGAAGCAGACCTAGAAATCATTACATACCAACAAACATATCCATATTTCAAACAAGTGGTTAACAAACAAACTATGACTTGAGGATGACCTTGACATATCAATGTACCCAACATTTTTTTCAGAATTTTTTAGGAGAATACATGACATGAAATCCCTGAAATACCCAAGTACTGTATGTTGCCAAAAACAAAGTGTGGTGCCGGTGGAGGTAAAATTCAGGAAAACCCTTCAGCTATCCCCATTTACATTGCTGCTTAAATATACCATACACATTAGAATATATTTTGAAAATATCTGTAAATCAATACAATATATCTTGTGTACTTAGAACACATGAACTCTTATGAAGTTTGATTACTTCTCTTCCAACAGTAATAGAGGCAAGTTGGGAGTCCTTGCTGATATGTGAAGGATAAATGTTCCCACTCTGAACTTGGTTTCCAAGGTGGCACAGTGCTTTTGTCATGTGGCAGACATGAAGCAACTCCACATTTTGACTCACACTTGTACAAAATATAACATCATATCCGCCAATACACTCATGCACATGTTGAGGCGGGTGAAACCTCACTGGCCACCTTGTTCCTGACCAGGATACTAACTTCAATCTGTAGCCTCCGACTTGGGAAGTTTATTGCTTTTTCTGGATCAGATAATGGTAAATTAAAAATTTAATTGAAATATACAAAATCAGCATAAGCAAAAACAGCAAATAACCAGTCCATATTAGAAGGGCTTACAAGGCCACTGGTTGGGATGCCATCTAGGGTGGGGAGATTTCACGCTACAGCCACACAAGCCACTGGTAAGGATGTTATCTAGGGTGGGGACATTTCACGGTACTGCCACACAGGCCACTGGTAAAGATGTTATCTGTGGTGGGGACATTTCACAGTACTGCCACACAGGCCACTGGTAAGGATGTTATCTAGGGTGGAGACATTTCACGGTACTGCCACACAGGCCACTGGTAAGGATGTTATCTGTGGTGGAGACATTTCACGGTACTGCCACACAGGCCACTGGTAAGGATGTTATCTGGGGTGGGGACATTTCACGGTACTGCCACACAGGCCACTGGGAAGGATGTTATCTGTGGTGGGGACATTTCACGTTACTGCCACACAGGCCACTGGTAAGGATGTTATCTAGGGTGGGGACATTTCACGGTACTGCCACACAGGCCACTGGTAAGGATGTTATCTGTGGTGGGGACATTTCACAGTACTGCCACACAGGCCACTGGTAAGGATGTTATCTAGGGTGGAGACATTTCATGGTACTGCCACACAGGCCACTGGTAAGGATGTTATCTGTGGTGGGGACATTTCACGGTACTGCCACACAGGCCACTGGTAAGGATGTTATCTAGGGTGGGGACATTTCATGGTACTGCCACACAGGCCACTGGTAAGGATGTTATCTGTGCTGGAGACATTTCATGGTACTGCCACACAGGCCACTGGTAAGGATGTTATCTGTGGTGGGGACATTTCACGGTACTGCCACACAGGCCACTTGTAAGGATGTTATCTAGGGTGGGGAAATTTCATGGTACTGCCACACAGGCCACTGGTAAGGATGTTATCTGTGGTGGGGAAATTTCACGGTACTGCCACACAGGCCACTGGTAAGGATGTTATCTGTGGTGGGGAAATTTCATGGTACTGCCACACAGGCCACTGGTAAGGATGTTATCTGTGGTGGGGACATTTCATGGTACTGCCACACAGGCCACTGGTAAGGATGTTATCTGTGGTGGGGACATTTCACAGTACTGCCACACAGGCCACTGGTAAGGATGTTATCTAGGGTGGGGACATTTCATGGTACTGCCACACAGGCCACTGGTAAGGATGTTATCTGTGGTGGGGACATTTCACGGTACTGCCACACAGGCCACTGGTGAGGATGTTATCTAGGGTGGAGACATTTCACAGTACTGCCACACAGGCCACTGGTAAGGAGGTTATCTGTGGTGGGGACATTTCACAGTACTGCCACACAGGCCACTGGTAAGGATGTTATCTAGGGTGGGGAAATTTCATGGTACTGCCACACAGGCCACTGGTAAGGATGTTATCTGTGGTGGGGAAATTTCACGGTACTGCCACACAGGCCACTGGTAAGGATGTTATCTGTGGTGGGGACATTTCACGGTACTGCCACACAGGCCACTGGTAAGGATGTTATCTGGGGTGGGGACATTTCACGGTACAGCCACACAGGCCACTGGTAAGGATGTTATCTGTGGTGGGGACATTTCATGGTACTGCCACACAGGCCACTGGTAAGGATGTTATCTAGGGTGGGGACATTTCACAGTACTGCCACACAGGCCACTGGTAAGGATGTTATCTAGGGTGGGGACATTTCACAGTACTGCCACACAGGCCACTGGTAAGGATGTTATCTGTGGTGGGGACATTTCACAGTACTGCCACACAGGCCACTGGTAAGGATGTTATCTAGGGTGGGGACATTTCATGGTACTGCCACACAGGCCACTGGTAAGGATGTTATCTAGGGTGGGGAGATTTCACGCTACAGCCACACAGGCCACTGGTGAGGATGTTATCTAGGGTGGAGACATTTCACGGTACTGCCACACAGGCCACTGGTAAGGATGTTATCTGTGGTGGGGACATTTCACGGTACTGCCACACAGGCCACTGGTGAGGATGTTATCTAGGGTGGAGACATTTCACGGTACTGCCACACAGGCCACTGGTAAGGATGTTATCTA